GGTTGACCTCTACCCTCACCCTAACATGTTAGCCGAAATGTCATTATCTAGGCCGAGGTGTTCATCACCAAGGCCGAGATGTTTATTATCTAGGCCGAGATGTTATACCAAAGTGATCTTGTCCCTGGACTGGTACGACCTAGACCATGGTGTGGCACATCTAAGCCAAGGTGTGGCACAGCTAGGCCAAGTATTGTCCTTCCTAGCCGAGATCATTGAGGCCCTTTTTGCCTAAGCTTTTTCCTAGTCGAGATCATTACACGCCGAAGTGCCCATGTCACCTTACTTGTTGCTTACAGTTTGTCATGCCCTTGTCTTATCAATCTATCACCTTTTGAGGAAACCCAATCCGGTAGTGCCACGTGTCCTAGCAGAGGGTTTAGTCAGCCGACAGAGTTAGAATTATATCATTTTGTGTCATATCTCTTGCATGGTAGAGAGAGAAGCTCTAGGAAGAGGAGAGGAAGTTAAAGTGAGAGAGCTAGATCCTAAGCTTGATCTTTAGAGTTTGAGCCGTTCAATCCGTGCCTTGAGGTTAGAATCTTGATTTACTCTTGTTGTTCTTTATGTTGATTCGATTGCATTGCATGATCTCGCATGATTCATGAACCATGCATTGATTTAAAGTTTGCCTTAGAAAGAGAAAATGATGTTCTTATGTTCTTGAGATAAAACCATGTTTTTTATCCGAAAGCTTGTAACAAGTTCCATGTTTTTGTGTTTGTTTTCATAAGATCTTCAAGTATGGGTACCCAGGTCCATGTTTTCAAACTCATCTCATGAAATCTCAGATTTTGAATAAAGAAGTTATGATTTTAGCATTCGTGTTCTTCATGTTCTTCAGGAAGGAAACCTAGATTTTCCCAGACTTCATTTCCTTGAATGTGGTCGTCGGGAACACACATCGGCCAAGAGGTGTGGTACCTCGGCCTAGACCTGGTTAGTACCCAGCATGTTTTCCCGAGGTGAAAAGGCAGTATTGTAACTCCCAGCATGTTTTGCTTTGTTTTGACTTGATTTTGAAAGAAATGCCGAGATCCTTCCCTGCCATGAAAAGCTAGTTTTAAGGATGCATTTCATATCCATCTTTTAGCATCTCACCCTGTCTTATTGAAATGCATTCAATGGGATTTATTATGTGCTTGTAGGCTTTGGACCCTTGCTTGTAATTCCTACACCCGAAGAACTATGTGAGTGGTATTTTTAATAAAGCTATGTTATAATGTCTTGATAAAAGCTTTGTTTTGTTTTGTTTTGGAAAAGTATTTGATCAAGCATGGATGATTATCCCCAGTTTTTTGTATCAAGTATTATATTTGCTTTGATGACATTCTGGGAAAGTCCTATAGTGTCAGGGGACTATAATGCAACTGCACCCTTGTCTTGAAAGTCCTTAGTGCCAGGGGACTATAATGCAACTACACCCTTGTTTTGAAAGTCCTTAGTGCCAGGGGACTATAATGCAACTACACCCTTGTTTTGCCATTGACGGTTTTCCGCGTGAATTGTTTGTTCGGAATGTCATCCCTCGTGTTATATTGATGCTAGTAAGCATCCCTTGAAGATTTGAAAGACTTGATTGATGGAGTTGGTTCATCCCTTGATTTTATATAGTATGCTATGTATTGTTTAGAAAAGAGATCTTGTATATCATTCATGCAAAACCTTTATTACTGGTATCATTCACTGAGTATCCAAGCTCACCCTCTCTTTATATATATGTAGGTGATGAACAAGAAGGCGGCGACGCCTAGATGATTATTTGCAACTTGTTTCGGATTCACATTTTTTGTAGCATCTTGAAGATCATGCTTCTTGGCTTGTAGTTACTTCTTTTATTTATATTGGCTTGAGAAGCCTTTTGATCAAGATGTATTTTGTACTTTATTTTATTGTATCTAAGTTGTAAGCTATATTAAGATGTATGTCATTTTATTTGATCTATGCACAGCTCTTGTGGACTATTTAGTTTTAAATTTATTGCTTCCGCACATGTAAGCCCCATATATATACTCTGATTGTGTGTGAATCTTTGTAAGTTGGTCTTTGGTAATCTCGGATTACTGGCCATCACGGAACCATTCTACTAGGGGCGGAATGGGGTCGTGACAGTGAGTCTGGTGGTATTTTCAAATTTTAAATCTGACATCCTTACACTAGTAATTGCATTATTCTCTAACCTATGAAGTATGAGTATTTCGAAAAACATGCCATATTCGTACCAGGGACTTACAGGGTATGGTATTTGTGCATATGTACCGGGTATACGAAACACATATCCTAATTTTTTCTTCTTAATTTTTGGCGTACCTAGATGTACCTAGTATATACCTAAGCCATACCATACCTCAGTTAAAACAATGTTTTCTTCTACCACAAAGATAAAATTCCTTTCACTAGATTTCTTTTTTATTTTTTATTTTATGATTAGTATGATTTTCAATTTAAGCTATGATTTGTAAGTTATTTAATATATTGATATTTAATTTTAATTTATACATTTATTTTTGACATTAAATATTAATTGTAGGTTGGATGTTAACAAATTAAACCATCTAATCAATTTTTATATTACTCTAAATTAAAAATAAATATTTTTTACAAATATACCAAGACGTGTCTCTACCCTATTTTTTTTACAATTTTGCAACAAGATTTACAATTGCTTAATTATTTTGCTTCTCATTGTTGCTTCAGAACGGAGACGTTACCATCTGTTTGCCTGTTTTCAATATTGGTTTAAATCAATCCGGCCATCTCATTATAGGAGACCACGCAATGAGTATGATCCTTTGCAGGACTGTCCAACGACAGGTAACCTGGGAATTATTCTTATTAATTATCTGCATTTGCTTCATTTTTAGAAAGTAGATGGGTCTTCAAGAGGTGTACAAATCTTTGGTCTTGTTTTGGCGTTAAAACTTTCTATGACCTGCTTAGCTTCATTGCTATGTAATTGCTATTTTCGAGTGCTTGGTGGGCATTGGATATGTGCTAATTAATGGACAAGCTGTGGAGATGAATTCCAGAAGAGTGCTTAATCATGGGGATGAAATAATCTTTAATTTGCCAGGGAATCATTCTTACGTATCCTACAATTGAACTCTTTTTTTGGTGTCTCATATGCAAATTGTTGTTTGGGGGGTGGGAGTGGTTTCCCTCTCTGTCAGTTTCTACTTAACTATTTAATTAAATAGATTTTCCAACAACTTAGTATTGGGGCTACTGCTACAGTTTCTCCTTCTGTTGGGATTGCAGAGGCTCAAAGGAGGTCTCTGGATCCTTTGGCCGAGGTAGGTGCTTCTATTATCACATTCTGTAAAGGATCACTTGTGGTGAAACCCAACAAAGGGAACAAAAATACCTCTTTGTTAACTTATGTGTCATGTCATAGTCAGGGACTCAGGAATCAGTTCAAACCATCCTTGAGCAGGTTGTGGATAATGAAAACAATCAGTCTAGCTAGCAGGCATCTATGACCGGAATCTCTTCCAAAAATACAGCCCTAACAGAAGATATTACTTCAGGGATTATTGATGGCAGAGAACTACAGATCTCATTTGACAATTTTCCAAATTATTTATGGTAGAAGCCTTTTACACAACTGTAATCTTTCTTGTATAGTCGTTTTATGTACTTATTCTATGTTTTAACATCCACTGCAGATTTCTTATCGTAATTCAGCTTTTGAGTATGTTAGCATATTCCACAGCACTTTTGAACTTGATAACTAGTTCTTATATAAGATGTTGACTCGTTCCCTTCTTCTGCAGCATAGGCAATATAATGATCTAGATGGAAGCACACACTTACACTGTAATTGATAAAAAGCTCAATTGATCAGTTTGCTTGTAGACATTGGTTTGGATGAGAAACATTTTTCTTTTCATCACTTCACACTTAATTTGATAAAAGATCATGCAGACTTCTTGGGAAGCTTAATAATTTTGAAAAGATAAACTTTTATCTATACGATTATATTACATGTACACATTGAACATATGAGAAGAGTCCAATGAATGTATATGTGCTGATAAATGTCTCACAAATTGGAAAACAATCTAGATTATGCAAGTAGGAGATATGGAACAAGTAGGAGATATGCTTGAAAATGGAAAGATATTAGTCAGGGATCATACATTATGCAAACAATGATAAGTTCATATTAAGAGACCAAACTTAAGGAGTCGATGTTGTTTTGTGCAGTTTTTTTTCTATTTTAAAGGGCAATGATAATATAGCACATCTTCACTAATAGCAATTGTGAAATTTTACCTTTTATTGTTTCTTCTTTCCTGAAATAACAGTTTTAAAAGGAATACCAAAATCTGTGAGAGAATAGAATACATATATGCTTTAAATCTCAACTTCTTGACCTGAATATGTTTTCCTGATTTTTTTCCCATTGCTGTAGCTCCTTGAGAAAGCTATTTTCAGATGTTAAGCTACTTCAGCCATTTGATCTATGTAGTGGTTTCACTATGTGGGACTATTGGTAAACTTTCTTGGAGTGTTGAGATGCCATTATACCCTTGTAGTGTATTGAATGTGCTTGTTCATCTTTAAGAACTTGTTTAACGTAAATGTTCTCCAGTTACGGTTACCTGCTACCTTTTCTGCCTATGCAATAGTTTGATCGACAATTGTACTTTGTAGTTCTAATTTAAGCTCATTTACTTGACTGTGTTAGTCTCAATAATAAAGGCTGCTATGGTTTCCATGGGTTTTAATACTTTATTGCAGGCTAATAATGAAAATTTCAATTTTCTATTTCTTTCAGTGACAAGACAAAATATTATCTGCTGGCATCCTTTGTTCTACACATAAAGCATAGTGAGTCCAAGGATTCCGCTGTAAGCCCAAGAATTTTGCTGTCTGGTCCTGCAGGTGAACAAGATCAACTCCTTGTCCTAGAACATTTTACGATCACTCTTACTCAAAATTTACTACTACAGTATATTAAGTTCTTTGCAAACAAACTTCTTGACCTGAATATGTTTTCCTGATTTTTTTCCCATTGCTGTAGCTCCTTGAGAAAGCTATTTTCAGATGTTAAGCTACTTCAGCCATTTGATCTATGTAGTGGTTTCACTATGTGGGACTATTGGTAAACTTTCTTGGAGTGTTGAGATGCCATTATACCCTTGTAGTGTACTGAATGTGCTTGTTCATCTTTAAGAACTTGTTTAACGTAAATGTTCTCCAGTTACGGTTACCTGCTCCCTTTTCTGCCTATGCAATAGTTTGATCGACAATTGTACTTTGTAGTTCTAATTTAAGCTCATTTACTTGACTATGTTAGTCTCAATAATAAAGGCTGCTATGGTTTCCATGGGTTTTAATACTTTATTGCAGGCTAGTAATGAAAATTTCAATTTTCTATTTCTTTCAGTGACAAGACAAAATATTATCTGCTGGCATCCTTTGTTCTACACATAAAGCATAGTGAGTCCAAGGATTCCGCTGTAAGCCCAAGAATTCTGCTGTCTGGTCCTGCAGGTGAACAAGATCATCTCTTTGTCCTAGAACATTTTACGATCACTCTACTCAAAATTTACTACTATAGTATATTAAGTTCTTTGCAAACATTTTACAGGTTCTGAGATATATCAGGAGAAGTCATCAAAGGCACTTGCTCATCACTTCGGGGCTAAATTGCTTGTATTTCATAGCCGCTTGTATCTATCTGTGAGTAGCATACTTTTCCAATTCAAATAAACTGGCTAAATTGCTTGTATTTCATAGCCGCTTGTATCTATCTGTGAGTAGCATACTTTTCCAATTCAAATAAACTAATTGAAGTACTTATGCTTCAATGTTTGACTTATTTATTTATTGTAGTTTCTACCTGCAATTTTTATTTATTTATTTATTTTTTGTGGTGATTAGTGAAGATGGAGACTTGTGAACTAGTAAAATCAGTTATACTAATTTGTTGCAGGGTTCATTTACAACGGGGCCAAAGCAAATACTTGAGGTGTTGATGGCCCAGTTATGCCAAGAAGTACGCCCTCTAGTTGTTCAATAGATTCAGGGCATAGTCCCTTCAGTTGGAAAAGGGGATATGCTACACTCTTCAAATGCAGCATTACGTGTTCCAGTGTCTCAAAAAACTAAGAATCGATGTTTCAAAAGTGGTATGTCTCTGCTTGTGCCGTCAACAAGGTTTTACTCTTATAGCAGGAAACTCTTACTTAGGTGGTGTTTTTTACTTAGAACTGCGATTTTGCACTCCCAAGTAAGAAACTCGTGAGAAATTCGCTCCTGTCGAGGAAGAAACTTGCTTCCAACTGAGATAAAACCTCTCAAACATAGAAATCTAAAAGAAAAAAAAGGAAAACAACTTCAATTATTCTAGTACTTTCTATTTACATAATTTTAATTTATACTTAAACAAAGACGATTTGTAATTCACTTCAATCTCAAATATTTATTCATATTTTAGCACATATTACAACTTAGCACACGCTCCCATAGGTCCCCCTGCCCCCTCCCCTTTGTGCAACTAAGGTTTTACTGTCACTTCTGATTTTTAACTTTCCTGTACATTAGCCTGCTGACTTCCAGATATGGAACATGCAGGTGACAGTAATATTTGTGGGTTTCAATTTTACCAGCTTATGTTCTATGGTTTCTGCCAGGTACAATTTACAAGACTTATTTTTCCCCTGATACCACATCTGTTAGTGCAATTATGTACTCATTCTTTTGTTCTCAAAAAACATTCACATGCCGAGACAGCAGGACTTCATTACATGTTGTGGCTTTGATAGAGCCATCCAAATATAATGGGTGGTTCTCAAACATGTGAAGACTCAAATGTAGCATCGCAGGATTGAGTGCCATGCGACATATAACTTGTTGCCAATGCTGAAGGAAGACTACCTCAAGCGCAAGTTCTTTCCTTGATCCATGCCTCCAATCATTTTTGTTAATTCATCCAGCTTTAGTAACCCAACCAATGGAAAAGAATAGGAATAGTCAGCAGATTGGTGAACAAAAAAAAAATTGCTGAACCCCCACTGTGGAGAAATAAATTATGAAAAAGGAACATGGATGAGTTCCAGATTAAGTCTTCCTTTGGGTCCATTTGGAAAAAGAGACATTAAGACCGTGAAATTGGATTTGAGCTTTCTAAATCCTGTTTCATTGGTCTTGATGCAAAAGACTAACTGTAGAGCAGGGGTTAAACAAAGAACCATTTCTGGGCAGCGGCAGCTTTTGTTTGAGTGTCCATTTAATTTAGAAAAAAGAGGAGGAAAAAAGAAAAAAGATTGTCTTTACCTTTTGTGAATTTAGTTGTGTCAGGGAATTGAGGGCCCTGAATAATTTTTTTTTTTGCAAGAAACTGTTTCCTCCAAACCTTTTCCAGTGTTTTAAGGTGATAAATAATTTCTACTTTCTCGTATTCATCACTGATAAGCAACTGCTGCTTAAAGAAAGAAGCTTTATTTGGTCAATCTCTCTCAATTACCCAAGATCGATAGGACTGTTCTTTCAAAAAACCATATGTTTGAGTCCCCATGATGCCAAAAGTTTTAGCTATTTGTTCACCACATGCCATAAGTTTTCGATATGTGCATCCACAAACATGTGTCTAATAATAGATGTTGAATTGCAATTTTTACTGTTACTTGATTCCGACACTGACCTTACCATTTGCACTGCCATCACAATTTTTTTTATCAACATGGTTCCTACAGATGGAAAATCTCTCTGTGTCTCTCTGTCTCTCTCTCATAATGTGTTCTTATAGGATTACAGGCTCATTCAGTTGGGATGAGTTTAGTTTTCATTACATTATGTTCTTAACTTTTTGTTATTAATCCTGTTGAATCCCATGTTCAGGGGCCCTAATTTTGGAAGCCAGGGGAAAATTGTTTTAACTTCTGAAAACAGTAATTCATTTGGAAAATGAGTGAGAGCACTAATTAGTGCTATCACTAATGATGTGGCAGTGGGTCCCACCAGGAATGATTTGATGTTTTGGCCTTGGTGTTGTATTTTTTTTCTTTTTTTATTGAGTGCCATGTCATTAGTGGTCTTTTAGAGCTCTAAAATTAGTGGTCTCTATCATTGTTGAATTCATTTAAAGTTGGTGTAAGGTTTGATAAGCCTATTCCTGAAGGCCAGGACCTAGGAGGTCTATGTGAAGCAGGTCATGGGTTCTTTTGCAATGGTAATGTCCCAATCCTGTAATCAAGTGTGTATTACTGTCAACCACATGATTTCATAGCAGTTCAACCTCTATTGCTAAGTTTTGTGTACTGAGTTATTGACACTTGCATTAGCAAGTGAACTTCAACCCGAGTCCCCAACTTTGAAGGATTTACAAAAGTCAATCAACAATGTACGGGAAAGAAATAAACCTTCTCGTATAATCCTGTTGACCAAGTCTACTCTCCTCCGTACGTCGTCACTTTATCACCTGAAAACACAAACGTGAGCTAGCCGGCGGGTGTGTGCTGGAAACCTCTCCGATGCCTAAGTCAGTAAGCTTGACAAATAGACAAAAGCTCTGTGTATTCAGAAAGCAGAGTTGTGTGTTACCTCTCCAAAGGTGATGTTTGTGAGCTTTTATAAGTTTCGTGTGGCACAATCCTAGTAGGACTTCTACTCCTCCATGCAGAGTCCTCCTAGGATTCATACTCCTAAAGGATAATGCTTATCCTTTAACACCCCCCTCACTGCTTAAACCAAGTGAGATGGTTTTTACCATGGCAGAACTCCAACATGACCGAAGTAATCATAGCTATACTGAGCCGTAGAGTAGGCCGAATTATCCTTAGTTCGGTTCTTCCTTTTACTCCTTATCTCGGTACTCCCATGTACAAACCATGGTGTGTTTAGACCGAGCTACCGAGTAGCAAGGTTCTGTCCGTCCTATCCACAATACGCCATGACCGGACTAACTTTGAGACCGGTCTAACTCCAAGTCGCTTCCGGACCAGAGTAACTTTACATTTCTCTCGGGCCGGAGTAACTTTTTTACGTCTGTTGGGCCGGAGTAACTTTACAGCCTTTTTACCCAGCCCTTCGTACTTCGGGCCATAATAACCATCTCATAGCTCGGCCCAATTTATCACAAAAATTACCCTCTCAATTGCCCCTTAATTCCATCTGCACAGCATGATTGGGATTACCTGTTTCTCAGCCAATGCTGAAGTATTTAAGCACTTCCAGCCGAGTTAAAAAACCCTTTAGCCTTTCCAGCCGAGCTAAAACTCTTAAGCCTTTCAGCCGAGCTAATTTCACACCGGGCTCTGCTTGTTCGGTCAAAAACGTCTTTTCAATCACAGCGACTGTAACGCTTCCCATTCTAATGGCACGCTCTAATTGACTGAGGACGGCTGTCACGCCGTCTTCGTACTATGTGTTTTTTGAACAGTCCCACCCAAATTTTGGGCTTTCTAACAAAAGCAAACCCTAAAGCAAAAAAAACTCTTCATCTTGGTACACTTTTTCCCTCTGAGCCTCCATTGCTTCCCAACTTTTGCCACTGTGAAGCTTGCTTTACGTGCGTCTTTTACTGCTGTTGCATTCATTTCCAGATCCTCTACTTCAACTTGGTAAGCAAATCTATCTTTTTTTGCTCTGTTTGTTTTCGTATTTGCTCTATGTGTTTTGTTTCCTGTGTTTTTTGCAAACACGTTTTTTCCGTTTTGCTCTGCTCTGTACTTCTATGGAAAAAACTTAACAGTAGAACGCATGAGTATATGAAATATCCTGTAGAAAACAGGTTTTTGATCCAAAATCATGATGCAAACGAACTAGGATACTGTTTAAGCTAGGTAAAAGTCGAGTCAGCTTATAACCGGACTAATACTTCATGTTTACACCAGTAGCTTTGAATAAGTCAAACCACTTCTTGATAGACCTTAGCCGAGGTAACCCACCGAACTAGGTCTGCTTTTAGCATAATGAGATACCTGAACTCCAATCGATCTAGGCCTTTGGGGCTAAACCAGCTTTCTTCGTTTTTTAGATGGAACTCAGAAAGCTGCCCCTAGACGATCAACCGGTCAAACAGAACCGTTTCCTTAACCGAGATATCTAGACGCTTGCCGAGCCCGAACTAGCAAAGCCCTGCTCAAACCGAGCTACAAATCACCTTGCAGAAACCGAGTTAGAACCTGTAACATCCACATAGCCGAAGTAGGGCTCCTATTTTTTGTACTTTTATTTTGTAGCACGGTCCGATGATCTGTGCTTAACCCCTTTGTTTTCTACTTTGCAGACTTAGGTTGCCTAAGCACTCCTCTGCACGCTCAACTGAGCTACTGAGAACAATTTTTGGACCGAACTAATTTATTCGTAAATTATACAATAAATGGGGAAGTATAGGTATCTAGTAGACACTCCGGGCGGCCTAGCCGAATTCAGAAAAGACTACAATATACCTGATGACGTCCACCTGATTTTAGCCGAAAAAGATGTCATTCCTTGGGGCAATAAAGGCTTTGTCCCCTTCACCCTTTTATCCATAATTGAAACCGGACTACGATTTCCAGTCCAACCTTTAATTTGCGAGTTTCTTAGGCAAACTAGACTATGCCCAACCCAACTATCCACCAATTCATACCGCATAATAATGGGAATAGCCGAACTAAACCGGCAAGCCGGTCTCAACCTTGGTCTGGCCGAAATCTTTCACCAATACTCCATTGGTTCGAAAGAAGATGGGTGGGTCTACTATTTAAGAATACGCCGTCGCCGAAAGAAGATAATAAAAAATACACCGGATAAAGACTTAAACGATGACGATTTTTTCTGGGTGTCTGGGAACTTTGAGGATCATCAAGCCCAGATTCCTAGCCGACGTATAAACTGGAAAAAAGGAGAACCCGGTATATTTACTTCGGTTTTCATGCATGCTTTATTATATTTCGGTTTTTCAATCTTTCAGCCAACTAACAGTTGCCTTCTTTCGCAGATTCTACCCACATCCATTCTTTATACAGCTACCCAAATCTAGCGACTTTGCGCGCCGCACTACGGTATCCAGAACGTAGTTGGGCTAAGCTATTAAAGTTCGAGCCGACCTACAGATACAGCGGCCGCCAAAAAGCGAGAGTGACCGACTTTCTGCTTGAGGAGGCCCCCGAACCGGACCCAACCTTGCCAGAAATCAGACTAATCCCACTAACTGCTGAAGAGGAAATGGCTAAAAGGAACAGAGTAAGGGTGCTTCTAACTGAAACTAACAGACCCGAAGTACCGCCACCAAGCCAAACGCAGCCTGCCGTTGTGGCCCTCCCTTCTTAACAGCCTTCCTCATCACACCCCTCTAAGCGCGCCCGATCTACCCCGACCGAACAACAACTTGTGGTTGAGGACGAATCCATCCCTTCACCAAGTCCTCAACCCATCCTTCAACCGGAGCAATCTGACCGAGCTGAGTCCTCCAAATGGGCTCCAATTCTCACCTTTCAAGACCGAAATATCCAGGAGACTGACTCGGTCGTTGCTGAGAAGGATCACTTGATGGCTTTCAATCTAGCCAAGAGTGTTTGCCTTCCGAAAGATATGGAGCACCACAACAAGCAACTAAACACCGAGCTGAAGGCCATCCGGTCTTCAACAAAATCAATGATCTTGGTAGGTGGCTCTCTGTTTTCTTTGTCTAACTTTTCCCCAACTGTTAGTCCGGCTAAAGAGAGTTATTATTTTGTAGGCCATTCAGAAGAACAACATTGCACATAGGAAAGTGCTGGAGCTTCGAAAAACAACGAGACAAGCAGTGGCGGAAGCCGAGGCAAAGACAGCCGAGCTTGAACAAGCCAAGAAGCAGATAGCCGAGCTACAGTTCGAGAACGGTCGCTTGACCGGACTTGTTAGCTCGGCTGAAGCTGAAAAACAAAAATTTGCAGTAACGGTGAAAGATAAATACTTGCGCGAGTTGGCCAAACTCGAAGGCAAAAAAGACGCCGAAATAGCCGATCTGAAGAAGAAGGTCGGTGATGCCAACGCCCAAGGTTTCAAAGAGGCGGAGGGCCTCTACATTCCGCAGTGTGAGGGGGCAAAGGATTTGTTCTTCAAGTGCGGCTGGAGGAGTGCTGTGGAACAGCTCGGCTGTGGGCCTGAAACCGAGGTCTACAATGCTCCACAGTACTTCATTCCAGCCTCACTAGCGGAATATGCTGCTTCGGTCCAAGAACAATTTCTGCAGGATTCAGATGATGAAGGCGATGAAAACGAACAAACTGTTACTCCGGTAGTCAACGAGCAAGTCAACGATCAATCAGCTCGGTTGGAGGCAACGGTTGAAGACCTGACTGTTGAGCCATCGACTGATATCGTTCTGCCAGTTGCTACTGAGATTGATCTTCCATCTGCAACCGGTGTTCCAGTTGGTATTGACGCCGAAATTGAAGACCTTTTCAGTTGATTTTGTACTTTTCTTCTTTGTTACTTTTTGCTTCTTGTAACCGGGCTATGGCCCCTCCTTTGTATTTGATTTTTGATTAATGAAAATTCTCTTGAACTTATTTCGGTTGAACTATATGTTTGTACTTGTAATGATTTTTCCATGATCTTTTCACTTCCAACTTTTATCTCAGTTTTAGCTGGTCAAACTAACTACGCTTACTAGCCCACCACTCTTCAGCCATACCCTTACTTCGGTTGAAGAGAACAAAGAGTTGGTTTAATCCAGCCAAGCACTTTTCAGCCATACCCTTACTTCAGCTGAAGAGTACAAAGAGTTGGTTTAATCCAGCCAACCACTCTTCAGCCATACCCTTACTTCGGCTGAAGAGTAACAAGAGTTGGTTTAATCCAACCAACCACTTTTCAGCCATACCCTTACTTCGGCTGAAGAGTACAAAGAGTTGGTTTAATCCAGCCAACCACTCTTCAGCCAACCCTTACTTCGGCTGAAGAGTACAAAGAGTTGGTTTAATCCCGCCAACCTCTAAGTTAGTTTTTCCAGCCAATTTAGAATAATGTTTGGTTATTCCGACCAAACGTCCTGCAGCCTGGATCCTTATCCTGGGCGTAGGAAGGGTGTTGGTTTAATCCAACCAACCTCTAAGTTAGTTTTTCCAACCAACTTAGAATAATGTTTGCAATATTCCTAACTTCATTAAAGCAAACCTTTACAGAGAACAACTTATGCTGAAAAGAATCGATTTGTTTTATTGAGGAAAGAAAAAAAATTACACGTATTTGAAAGAGAAAAGCTAAAAATAAAATAACTTGAGATTGGCGGTGTTCCATGGTCTAGGGATTGCTTTGCCGTCCTTGTCTTCTAGGTGGTATGCCCCTTTGCCTGCTAACCCAACCACTTTGTAAGGACCTTCCCAATTAGGCCCTAGCTTGCCATCTCCTGGTATTAAGGTGTTTCCCATCACTTTGCGCAGTACCCAATCTCCGATCTTGAATTGTCTTGGATGCACCATCTTGTTGTATTTCCTGGATAACTCTTGTTGATACGAGGCAATGTGGACTAGTGCTTTTTCTCTTCTTTCTTCGGCGAGGTCGAGCTCAAATGTTATGGCCTCTCCATTTAAGTCGGCATCAAAATTTTCGCTTCGAATTGTGGGTGGCCAATTTCCAGTGGGATTACTGCTTCCATTCCATAGGCTAAGGAGAATGGTGTCTCTCTTGTTGATCGTCGAGGTGTGGTGCGGTAAGCCCATAACACATGAGGAAGTTCTTCCGCCCATTTGCCTTTGGCTTTCTCCAACCTTTTCTTCAACCCATCCAAGACTACTTTGTTTGAAGCTTCTGCCTGTCCATTTGCTTGGGGATATGCCGGTGTAGAATTATAGAACTCTATTTTGTATTCTTCACAAAAGCCTCTGAAGATTCTGCCGTCGAACTGAATGCCATTGTCTGAGATAAGGCCTTTTGGTATGCCAAACCGAGTGATGATGTTTTGCCAGACGAACTTCTTCACATCTCTTTCCTTGATCGATGCTAATGCTTCTACTTCCACCCACTTTGTGAAGTAGTCTGTTGCTGCGAGAAAGAACTTTCTGTTGCCGGGTGCTGTTGGAAGTGGTCCTACTATGTTCAAGCCCCACATTGCGAAAGGCCATGGGCTAGTTAATGGTAGGAGTTCTCTTGCTGGTTGATGTATTTGGTGTGCGAATTTTTGGCATTTCTCACACTTCTTCACATATTTCTCTGAGTCTGCCTGCATGTATGGCCACCAGTATCCTTGTGAAATGGCCCTGTAAGCTAGCGATCTTCCTCCTTGATGGCTTCCGCACACCCCTTCGTGTATCTCGTATAAGAATGCTTCCACTTTGCTGGGGTGGACACACTTTAGATAGGGTCCTGAGAACGACTTTTTGTATAATGCCAAAGATGGGGAGAGCCAAAATCGCTGTGACTTTGCTCTAATTTTGTTGGCTTCTTTCTTCTCTTCTGGTAGGACGCCGTCTTTCAAGAATAGTATGATGGGATCCATCCATGAGGGGCCTAGTTTTGTGCAACATACCTCTTCTGCTTCGGGATCTTCAATGCTTGGTCTAGGTAGGTAGTCGATCAGTAGTGGATGAGGGATGGAGGATCTGCTAGGTAGTCAATCCTTCGTACGGGAAAGAAATAAGTCTTCTCGTATAATCCTGTTGACCAAGTCTACTCTCCTCCGTACGTCGTCACTTTATCACCTGAAAACACAAACGTGAGCTAGCCGGCGGGTGTGTGCCGGAAACCTCTTCGATGCCTATGTCAGTAAGCTTGACAAATAGACAAAAGCTCTCACAATTTTTTTTATCAACATGGTTCCTACAGATGGAAAATCTCTCTCTGTCTCTCTCTCATAATGTGTTCTTATAGGATTACAGGCTCATTCAGTTGGGATGAGTTTAGTTTTCATTACATTATGTTCTTAACTTTTTGTTATTAATCCTGTTGAATCCCATGTTCAGGGGCCCTAATTTTGGAAGCCAGGGGAAAATTGTTTTAACTTCTGAAAACAGTAGTTCATTTAAAGTTGGTGTAAGGTTTGATAAGCCTATTCCTGAAGGCCAGGACCTAGGAGGTCTATGTGAAGCAGGTCATGGGTTATTTTGCAATGGTAATGTCCCAATCCTGTAATCAAGTGTGTATTACTTTCAACCACATGATTTCATAGCAGTTCAACCTCTATTGCTAAGTTTTGTGTACTGAGTTATTGACACTTGCATTAGCAAGTGAACTTCAACCAGAGTCCACAACTTTGAAGGATTTACAAAAGTCAATCAACAACATATTGCTTGAGGTGATATTTTGCTGCAGCATCCAACATAACCTTTTTTCAAGTCACTATAGTGCTTTATGGTTATTTTGTTAGCTACTTATTACTCTCATTTGAAATTTCCCTGGCCATAATCAACGAGAGCGGAAATTCTCCTTTTATTTTGTTCATGAAAGATATTGACAAGTTTCTTCTAGAAAATTCAGAAGCACATCGAGTAATAAAATATCTTATCCATGCACTTCCTTCTAATGTTGTTGTGATTGGTTCACATACAGACACAGAGAACAGCAAAGAAAAAGTAAGTGAAATTTAACAGTTTAGCTGCACTGGAAAGTTTGCTTCTCAGTTATGTTATTGTAACAACCTTACAACATTGTTTGTTGCTTGTACGGTGGATTTTATTTGCTTGCATAGTTGAAAAAATATGTTTCTCTGCTGATCATTCTGCACATAGCAGACCTTTTGCTTTTTCAGTTTTTGTTTTTTTTGCCTACATTATCCTTTTGTTATCAGTACAACTTCAGTAGTTGCAAGATGGACATAAAACATGCTTGTAGTTGGACAGCATCTTCTATTGGGTCCCTACTTATTACCAACTTATTCCTAATGGTTTGCATTTACCTCCACGGTAGCCATCTATGTTCTGTTGTGATTTTGCAGTATGCTGGGAACTGTCTTAATTTCCTGTTGTTGAGGATAATCTTTACAAACTGATGCCTCTATTAGCAATAGTTGATTTAGGATAAACTTGGTAAAGAGTTTTATTGATGGCACCGCTAGAAATTTAGCTCCAGTTCCCTTTTAAATAAATGTATGGCTTTTTCAGTATTCCAATAAGAAATGTTTCTTTTAAAAAGCAATTTTTGGTGTAAAGTTTGAGTTTGTTTGAAGCAAATGGCCCAAATGGAGGATTAATTAATTATATTTGTGAGAGGCGTTCTCCATTAGTTTCCAAAGACCAAAAATAAAAAAATTGACCATTCAAATGATGAATTTTCAGAGGCTGGACAGATTCTTCTGCTGATTCTGTCAATGGATTTCTGCTTCATTGAGATATAAGAGATTTATTTAGATTGTTGAAGTACTACTTTCCTAAGAATTTAGGCCTCGTTTGGGAACCCTCATTTTTAGTCAAAAAGTCAAAAAGTTACTAAATTAGTCAAAAAGCCAACAACCCATACCAAAAAGTCAAAGATTCTCTTTTTTCTCTACTTATTGCACATATTTTGGTAAAAAGCCAAAAAGTCATCCCAAACATACTAGTTTTTTTTAGCTTATATTTTAGCCAAATAGCCAAAAAGTTACTAAATTAGTCAGTTCCCAAATGAGGCCTTAGTCCGATTACATCACATTTTCATGATTCACTCATATAGGCAACACTTGAATGGTTTTTCTTGTGCAGGTAATTATGACCCCAAATTTGGCCTCCATTGTAGTATTTGAGTTTTCCGATCATGAATAATTGTGGTATGTCTGAGCAACTAGTAAATGTGTCAAACTGCTTTCCGTCAAGTCTATCGGTCCATCAAGATATGGTCAGACATGTTTCCCTTAAAAACTTCCAGCGAGCAGGATGTCTACTCCTGAACAGTCAAGCAATAATGCACCTGTGGTATAATAATCTACAAATGCTCGTCATTGTAATTGGGAAGCTGCTATTCTACTCCCACCCTTGATTGCTATCGGTTAACCAAGCCTGCATCAAAGGCTGTAAGCTAAGAATCACGGACACTTCTAAGAAGGTGGTGTGTCTATGTCCAAATGTGCCCTTTTTAAAAATGATTTAGACCCAAACAGTTTTCAGACACTTGGGAAACACTCATGTCTATTGCTTAGACTTACATAAAACTAATTTTTGGAAGTTTGAACAAAAATAAATTAGTATACAATGATGAAAGAAAAATAATGTAGATGTATAGGAATTAGTGATATGTTCTATTTTTTTTAATTATATTTGAATGATATATATGAACTATATGTTGTGTGTCTCTCTCATGTGTCATGTCGTGCAGTTGTGAAAATTGTGGTTTTGCGTGTCCATGTCGGTGCTTCTTAAGATGAAAGACTTAACCTTTTAGTAAAAGTAACGTGAAGCCAAGATAGAATTGTTGAGTAACATTTTATGGCAGGTTGTCTATGCTGAAGACATTGTGTAACATTCTATTTCATTTTATCAGGAATGTTATTGTGGAAAACAAGAAAAGGAGAAGTTTCTGGTGACAACAAGCCTACTGTCAGAACTTTTTCCTAACAAAATTACTATTGACATGCCTAAGGTGCCTAGTGTGATTTTCTGGTTGTTATTCATTCACCATGTATTTTTCCACAGTATCTAACGATAGGCTTGCAAAATGATGCAGGATGAGACGCATAAAGCTGTCCTGAAGCGTCAATTTGCTAACGACTTTGAATTCCTCAAGAGCAGAGGAAAACTTTATGTGCCTTAGCAATGTAGAAAACTACAAGCCATTATAGTTTGTAATATTTCGTTTTTATGATACTGGCTTTATGTGTGGTTTTAATACTGCTCAAGAAAAGCTAAAGATACCCATTTTAATCCGATGTATGTAGAGCAGTATGGCTTCTGGCTTGCCTCATTTGTATGAACCTTTATTTAGTAATATAATTTTGTTTTTTTGCTTATACCAGAAAGGTAGTTGGCTTTGTTCTGTAGGTTCCAGTACCTATTTCTTGTGATCAGTTGTTCATTCTTTCTTTTTCACAAAACTGCACTTCGTGTATTTTGATTTTGATTATAGTTGAAAGCTTTTTCAATAAGTTATTCTTATAGTCGATTATGTATCAATTCGTCTTAGTTTGTAATGCATATCAACTAAAATTTACCAATTTGTGTGTGTGTTTTATCCTTTTTGGACCTTCTTTGGGTGGTTGAAAAATTGTATAAATGTGAGTTTCACATTATCTTTCATATATACAAAAGTGATGGGGAAAAGGAGCCTCTCCACCATAAGTTTCTCATTTGGGATCAACTACACATTTACTTTTGAAGTTTTTTTCACCTACTTTGGAGTTGCATTGCGAGGTACTACGGACGATAGGTGATGATCCAAAGCAATTGAAACAAAATGAGAAATACTTTCAATCAATATGATGCATGTAACTATTATATGCATACTGTTTATTGGTTTCCACTTCTTTTTGAAAAAACAAAAAATAAAAAATTAAGGAGCCATTTAAATTAGGAAGAGTTTCTCAGAAGCTTTTGACATCCATCACACAGAATTATTTGTCTCATTACTTTGTATGGGAACAACTGTTAGCAGTAGAATGTCAAACATCTCAGTTTCAGTTAGTTTTGGGTATTCTTGCAAAAAGGAAAAATGTATCAATGAAAGCTTATTTTGGTGGTTTGCATCACAATTTGTTGTTAAAGGAACGTAGTTTCATTTGAAATTAATCAACCATTCCATGCTGATAGAGCAGGATTAAAAAATTCTCTAGACTACTAATGTTAAAAGCTGACTATTGAGTGCAACATATAAATACATTTTTCATAACAAACAGGTTTTGATCCGAAATGTCCCGGACTGCGATGAACTTGGGACATTAAGCATTGTGGATCAAACACTTACAATTGAAAGTATGTCATCTTTCCATTGTTTTTGAAATTACGATGACTCATCGATGAATTAATTTGATCTTTTTTTTTTTTCATTAATTCATTTATGTTCCCTGTGTGTTCATTAATTGCATGATGCTGGTTGCAGGTGCTGAAAAGGTAATTAAATGGGCTCTAGGCTACCAGTTAATGGAGTGTCCGCAAAATAATGCTAACTCAAAGCATGTTTTGTCTGCAAAAAGGTATGAAACATCTTCCGTGGCTGGCACTATGTTACTGTCAGTTAAAATATAAATCATAAGAATGATGCAGCTGTGAATTCTATTCCATATTGTAATTCTGGCAGCATCCAATATGGCCTTGATGCTTTACGGGAAACCCAGACAGACCTGAACAGCTCAGAGAAGTCGCTCAAGGTGAATTCTTGTATTTTCTATATATAATTTCTGATATTTCCATTTTCTTTTTGTAGTCAAATCACATGGTGATTGATACATAATTTTACGCTTCTTTCTTTCTTGGTTGAAAGGCATTAAAATTTTAAGTGATTATGCTGACCAACCTCAGGATGTTGTAAAGGAGAATGAATTCGAGAAAAGACTCCTAGCTGATGTTATTCCACCTAATGAAATTGGAGTGAAGTTTGATGATGTTGGAGTTCTCGAAAATGTGAAGGACACGCTGAGGGAGTTGGTGATGCTTCCTTTACAAAGGCCCGAATTGTTCAGTAAGGGGCAGCTACGGAAGGTGTGCCCATTTTCTACTTTCTGCATCAAACATGCTTGTGCCTTTGAAGAATAATTATTGGAATTAAATAAGAGATATATGGTAAACATGTATTGCATTGGAACTATGCTATTGGAATGATTATTGAAATGTTTTAAAATACAGAAACACTTGTTACACCGTAGGGTGTATGAGAACACTATTGAATAACTTAATATACATTGTTGGGCCATTTCCGAACAACTTAAACTTTTGTGATAATTGGGTAACTTAATATGGTATCAAAGCTTAGGATGGGAAAAGTCTTGGATTCAAGTCTCCAAATTTGCATTTGGTTCTCGTTTGCTTTCTTTCTTCTCTCTATGTATGGATGTGAAGTTGCACGCGAGGGAGGGTGTTGAATAATTTGTTATATGTTGTTGGGTCCATTTCTAATAGCTTAAGCTTTTGGGGTAATAATTGGTTACCTAACAAAGCAAACTAGGGCACTTCAGTTATCAGCCATTTCCGAAGTCCTACGAATGGAGGGTAGACGAATCTGACTCAGAAACACTAGGTGGTGTTTGGGAAGAATTTTAGTTGGGTTTTTTCTCATTTTTTTCACTAAAAGACAAAAATTTTGCAAAACCAAAAAAAACACATCCAAACAAAATATCACATCCAACCCCATAACCATTTCACTTTTTCTCTCACAAACATCACATCCAACCACAAAAAAACTCAACTATCTTTCCAAACACAAAAAAAAAAAAAAATTCTTCAATAATATCCTACATCTAAAAAAACCTACATAAAAATCCACTTCCCAAACACCATCTACATCAACCCAAGTCCGTGTAACATAGACAATAAGCATTATGTCATATATATTTCCTTTGTTACACAATGAGCATTATGTTGTATATCCTTCCCTTGTTATCACTGTGCTTTTGTAGGTTCATGGCTCTGGCTCTACTTATCATAGTGGAAAATTTGATTGTCATGTTGTTGATAATAGTTACATAAAATTTAAGTAACTTATTTTTATCCCCAGCTTTCCGAGGGAATACTTCTGTTTGGACCCCCTGGAACAGGAAAGACCATGCTTGCAAAGGCTGTAGCCATTGAAGCAGGAGCAAATTTCATCAATAGCTCAATGTCCAGCATCGCTTCGAAGGTTATATATATATATATATATTGTTAACTGGTTAGCTATTTCGATGACTAGGCTCTTAACATTTAAACTCTTCCTTTTCATAGTGGTACGGCGACCCTGAGAAATACGTGAGGGCAGTTTTCTCTCTAGCCAGTAAAATTGCTCCTAGTGTTATATTTATTGATGAGGTGATCCTTAAAATATCTACTAATTATTTACAATACTGTATTTTGATTGTTTCTATATTTTTACTGTGTATACTTCTTCCGTATAGGTTGATAGCATGTTGAGACAGCGAAGAAATCAAGAGCACAAAGCCACACGTAAGATGAAAAATGAGTTTATGGTGAATTGGGATGGCTTGCGCACAAAAGATAAAGAAAGGGTGTTGGTACTTGCAGCCACAAACAGACCTTTCGATCTTGATGAGGCTGTTATTAGAAGGATGCCACGATGGTAAACTTAGAAAAATCTTGAAAATCTTGACACTGTATTCAACATCTTTGATTGCAAAATTGGAAGCCTATGGTATTTTTAATATTTCTGCATAAACTTACCAGATGCTCCAAATAGATCTAAAATTTTAAAACTAATATTGGCTAAGGAAGAATTGTCTCCTGATGTTGACTTTGATGCAATTGCGGGAATGACAGATGGGTTTTCCAGAAGTGATCTCAGGGCTTTTCCTTGCCTTTCTCATCAAAGTGCTTTGTGTCTCTTAATATATGCAGAGTTGGCAAAATTTTTAATTTCTGAATTATATTGCAGAATCTTTGTGTCACTGCTGCATACGGTCCGTTAGAGAGATATTGGAGAAAGAAAGGAAGGTATAGTGTTTCTTCTTAATTTCATTAAATAACATACATAGTTTGTGATTTATGGCCATCGTTTTGAATCTTCATGACTCGTTACCTTTTGTCAAACATTTTAAAATATGTTTTTCTCTATCTAGGAAAAATAAAAATATTTGTATGGCTTCATGAATCATCTGCAATCTCTTCTCATCACACTTTAATTCTTCAACTTTAAAACAAAAGTTTCATTTGCAACAAACACATATCGGAACAGGTTTACTGATCACTTGTACACCTTGCGCTTTTGACAGAAGAAAGCTGTGATGAATGAGAGTTCAGACGTTGGGCCAATAAATATGAACGACTTCAAGTATGCCCGAGAACAGGTACAAGAACCTACAAGCAAAAGATAACCTCTCTTCATTTTTTGTTTTCATGTGATTGCTTCATAATGTCTTTTTTGTCTTTGGTTCTCCCTCCAACTCTACCAATTCATGGTAACAGGTCAGTGCTAGTGTGTTAACTGAGTCTATGAACATGAATGGGCTACTACAATGGAATGAGCTATATGGTGAAGGAGGTTCTCAAAAGAAGACAAGTACGAGCTACTACATATAAAGGACTTCTCTCTCTCTCTCTCTCTCTCTCTCTCTCTCTCTCTCTCTCATACCGAATACTTTATTCTAGCATATATAATTTTCACTAGAATGTTCATGACAAAGGTGGTGTTTTGCTTTGTTATAGGCCGGTGAATCGTGAGTTTTTCATGCGTCTTTGGAATTATCAATGCTCATTTGTTCAATCAAAAGATTATTGACCAAAAGACAGGGAGTTAACTAAATCAAAAGAATATCACATTAGTTTTCACTGTAAAATGCGAATTTCACAAACACATTAGTTCAGATATAAACAATTGAATGGAATGTTTATTTAAACAATTTATTTTTGTTCATAACTTTAAATCCGAACATTTTACTTTTGTTCGGAACTTTATATCCGAACACCATGTGTGTACTGAGAGTTGTACGGTGTGCAGATAGATTTACCCAAAAAGACATAAATAAATAAAAACAGGGACCTCAAATCATGACTGGTTGGTTGACATCAACAGCAAATTATTCAGACTTTTGAATGTTTACTAGAGAGATGATCTCAAACATATGTATTATGTATATATTAAATTCTACGGCTTTATGTACGTACCTCCTTGAAACACAGTAAGCAGTCTGATTTAAGGAGAAGAAATGTGAATGCATGCAATAGAATAACAAGCACAATTGAGAAAACAGTGCAGCCAACTAGCTATAATCAGATCCCATTCAAATGCAGATTGATCTGCACTTTCAGCTCTCTGTATATGGGACTAAATCCATATCAAGGTATTGACCCATTCATTACTAGATCTTAATCTCTACATTTCAATGACAAAGGATCAGTCATCAGTGCCAAAGTACCGATCACCAAACTCTCCCATACCTGGTATGACACGGAATTCTTCATTCAATGCTACATCAATCTCTGAGGTGACAATTTTCAAGGATGGGAACCGCTTGCAAACACAATGTATTCCCTCGGGGGCCTAGATGCAATATAACACAGAGGAATCAGTGCATAAACATTTTTTTTTAATAAACTTGAAACCAGCAGAGCAGAAATTACTCACAGAAATGAGATTTAGAAATATTATGTGGGATTCTGGAACTCCTTTCTGTATAAGTAGCTCGATTGCTTGGTTAGCAGAGTTGCCTTCAAAGAAGCCATTATGGTTTGTTAGGTCACAAAAATGCAGAAAGATAGAAACGAGACAACCAAGTCCATTTTGCACTACATATATTGGACGATATGCAAAAGAGACAACCAAACAGGAGAAGCAAAAAAATGAACAAGTTTGATTAGAAACCTGTAGCAAGAACTGGATCGAGAAGCAAGACATGCCTTTCCGAAATATCCTTGGGAAGCTTTTCATATATAAGCTGGGTAAGAGATGACAAACTGTTATAAATCAATCATATGATCCTTATATGGGAAAGCAAGTCCCTGAGGAAGGGGGCAAATAACACTTTTTTTGTTTGAAAAAAAGGGGCCGGGACAGGGAAAACCACCTGCTTCCCATTGTCACCATCACGGTGGATCAGAATTTTTCCAATTTTTATTCCTTTGCAACAAGCACGCATTGCGTTCTCCATACTTTCACCACTGTCAAGACATTTATGCAATACAACCAGTTACCCAATGATAAATCACCCAATTAGGTGGGGTCAGATACCTGAATCCCAGTACCATTGGCAAGAAAATTGGCTCCCTGTAAGATCTTTCTTTCCCATTTTCATAAGCAATTTAAATAAAATTCTTTCCAAAAGCAGAAGTGCACCTCTATTAATACCTGATTTAATTCTTACCTTCGAATAATGGAAACTCCACACAATTTCTTGCAAAAGTCAACCCCAGTATACATTGACCCTGCATTAGTATGCCAACAAATCAACAACATTTCTATTTTTGTGTAGAATATCTAAGAAACAACATTTTGCAGTCTTTCAAAACAAAGACACATCTAGACCTCCGTTTTTTTCTTTTTTCTTTTTTAATAGACAGCAATGCACATTTTATTCACGTCCTAGAAACAAACACAAACAAGAAAACAATAGGAATCTATCTGTTAACAAAGAGCTGAAGATCAGGAAATGTCAATTTCAGTTATCACAGAAGACTACATTACTATTAAGCAAAAGAAAATGCAAATTGAGCAAGAAGAGTAAAAATAAGCTAGATAAAATATTTCATATTCATTCTACCATCACATTTTAAAAGGACAGCATTATCATTGTCATCAGTCATTAATCTGCAAAAGCTAATGCCAACAATTTGGTGCTAGTTTACAAATCCTGTTATATCCTACCCAAAGCCAACACACGCACACACACACACACACACACACAAAATAAAAGGTATATAAGGTTCTCCTCAGTTTACATTCAAATAGCTTAAGGAAAACTTAAGATCGAAGGAAGTACTCCAATTATTTCCAAATTTCATGAGTGAAGATAGGGAGATGGGAAGAAATGAAAGAAAACAGAAAGAGTTGAATTTGAGTTCAAGCCATGTCACATATTTTTCTCTTAAAACACACCTGTTGGAGTAACTACTTGTTTCTCAGTAAATGGTAAATGGCCAAGGCCATGCTCCACAACCTGAAAGTCAAAATCAATACAAGCAATGATAACATCTTTGTTCTTTTGATCTTGGGTAAATCAATGATTTTGAAAAAGCTAAATAGTTGAAAGTACCAGACGAATAAGCCGATCCGAATAAAATACAAAATCATGCTTTGATATACCACAATCTCGAATAAGTGTATGCATTCCTCTTATCTGCAACATGGGTCTCCAGGATAAGCATAACTAAAACTCAAAGCTACGAAAAGAGAATGAATTTGAATTGGAATCACAAGGAAATAGAAAAAATATTAAGAATATTATGTAGATGTGGAAGACCTATTTTCACCTGTAATCTAGTGCTAACACATTGGCTCTGTTGGTGTTATTGTTGTTTGACCCTAAGTTAATTTACATAATGACCCAGCATCCCAGAAGTAAAAACCACAATAATGTTACTATAATCACCATAAAAGGTCCTCTCAATCCCTCACAGTTAATTAGCTGTAGCTCAACCTTGATGCCATTCTCCGTATCTATGCAGGATGATGCCTTTTCCTTGGTCCTATTTTCCCCCCTCAGAAGTTGGTCTAGTTCAATAATCAATGATAATTAAGCATCAGGAGGATTTTAGGACCATGAGAAAGATAATCACACCAACCCTCCTGGAACCACAAATAAAAAAAGAAGGGAAACTTCCCAACGAGTCCCTACTTTTCAAGTGAAGTTTCCATCAAGTCCTATTAACACATGCACTAGCCCTCTCAGCATACAGTTAATAGGACTCAATAGAAACTTAATGGAGAAAGTAGAACTTATTTGATATTTTCCCAAAATATAAAGTTTGAGTTACATTAATCTACCCCGAGGTTTCTGACAAATATACATTAGACTTTGGGATTTACATCCCGCACATTGTTGTTTCCAAATCACATTATAAATTCACCACAGATGAGGACCACTTGCACACTTGCCAGAATTTTTTCCCTCACCACCAACAATTTGTCGAGGCCCACCAAGCCACCCCTAATGGAGGGTGATAAGGAGAAGAGAGATATTTAGTTGGCATTTTGACTTGGATGTTGAGTCATGCTATTCATGCAGATTAACTTTCTGAATACACTCTGAAATTATGTCTATCCACTAATATACATTGCAGGTAATTTCAAAAGACTACTTCCCATAGGACACATAAGTCGGCCCACTCAGTCAGATGACTTAGAGTGATTAGCATTTTTTTTCCCTGTTAACAACATTTAAGGGGTTGTTTGGGATGACCTAAATAAGTGTACTTTTTGTCTTTTTACGAAAAGATGTGCAGAAAAGTAGAAAGGTGATGTGATGGAAAAAGATAAAAAGATAAAAAGATGGATTATTTTGTGTATGCCAAACTTGGCCTTAGTGACAACCTTTGATAGGAGAGGCCAGTGTAATTTCCAAAACCATAGGCGACAGGTATTAGTCAGGAACCTCAAGGAGAAATGAGAACATTGTTGCTCAGTGAGGCAAGCTAAGGCCAAATGAGATATGCAAAACAAGGGAAAATTAAGAAGAAACATAAAGATGTACCTGGAATGTTGACTGAATAACATAAACATTGGGATATATTTTGCAGAGGTCATGCTGACCAAGTTTTGTGCGGATATGTTGGACAATTAAATCAATGGCGACATGATTATCACCTCCCCGGGGTATGATAACATCAGCATATTTCTTTGATGGCAGGACAAAATCATCAAAAGCAGGTTTCACAAACTTTGCATACTGCACAATCAAAATGGCACTTGCAAGGTTTGTTATCCCATTATAAGGAAGTCAAGAATTTAAAGAAGACTGGTGGCATCACACAATTACTAAAACTTCCTAAAGTAGCAAGAATAATATTAATGAAGAATTAGAACCAGATGAGAAGATGCTTTCTTAGTCAAATCCAGACAAAAACATAATAATATCTCTGTGCTGAGCTGAATGTATTGTAAGTGACAAATTTCTACTCTCTCGTATCCTCTGGTAGATTCCAAATAAGCATTTTTGTGTAGCATTAATTGAGAGTTACATCAACATAATGCAAAACTCGTCCATTAAAGTATCTGCTTCAGACAGCAAGCAAGCAAGCTACAACACATCAACTAAATTATATCATGCAAAAGATTTGCAGGCAAGCTTAGTTTTGGTGAATGGCTCTGCTTCTGTTTCTTTGTATATTCCCAGTATATAAAGATTCTGCCACTTTTGGCGCCTTAACAAATACTTTATTTACCAATAAAAGAAAAGAAAAATCATGTATAAGATTGAACTCTTAAACCAAGTATTTGTGACTGGCTACATGTATCTTCTCTGACATTTAATTCTACCTAGTGCATCAAGAACACATTATAAACACTCATAGGTGGAGAAAGAATCAGTTCCTACCCCTTTCCTCCAATATAAAGATATTTGAACTTGTAATCCCGATGCATTGTCGGGAATTCTGAGCCCATGTGCGCACCCTAGTAGTGTTTAAAATATGCTATATGGATTTATTGTGTCTCATGTTCCCTAGCCTAGCCACCCATCTTGGTAAATGGTTTCAGAGTATTTAACCACAAAGTGTAGACCAAATTGTCTATCTTATACACTGTCCTACCTGCTCTCGTTTACAACTAAGTTTTGTAGAAAATGCATCAATTACCTCTATTTGGCTGATTTTTCAGAAGTTATTTTCTGAATAAAAATTCAAAAACTAGTTTGGTGAAAAATGACAACAAAAAAAAAAAGATTAACAACACTCATTATTTTCATTTGGTTCTCTTTTTTGGAATGGAAATAATTTTTGAAAATTCAAAAATATTTTTTTGGCGATTATTTTTGTCACACCAGTTTCTAGTTTTTCAATTTAAAATAAAATAAAAAAAAATTAGAAAATAAGTTACTCAACCAAACAGAGCAGACCCATCCAAGCATTGTAGCCAAAACTGCATAACCTTCAACTTACAAATTCAGCATATCATATAAAGTGGAACTTACAAAAAAAGGGGACTACATCCATAAAGTCCCAGCTAACATCATCATCCTAAAATAATAATCACAACAACAATAACACAGTAATACTATATGCATTGCAATTATTAGTTTCAATTTTTAATCAACAAATAAATAAGTGGAAAAAACGGAAGACAGAGTGTTGATGGAGAGTCTCTCATAATGATCAGCAGCTTCCTCAAAAGGTTTCACAAAAATTAGCTACTCCTTGGAAATTGAATGCCAGTGGCATTTTTTTTTTCATCAAATGAAGAAAGTAAAACACTTTAGACAATTGAGGAAGCAGCATATCCCTGGTTTAGGTGAATAATAAATTTTCAGCAGAATCCTAAATTTGGCAGTACTAAGAAACTTAAATCAGGGCTTCAACTATTAACGGTGAGCAATAACAAGAAAGATGTTAAGGTAAGTAAAAGGGCTTGCCTGTTCAAGCACAGAGTTTATGTCCCTACCCCTCTCAACTGTATCACGCCTTATTCTACGAGCAAGCCTCACATCAGCATCTATAACAATTGCAATACCAGTCAACAAATAAGATAGCAAGACAAGGAATTAATGGGGAAAAAGTTGTGGTAGATATAACAAAGAAATGCCTAAAACATTATAAAAGTATATCATCAATGGGACATGGAACAAATATCAGTGTACTAAAATGGTTACTAGTTAAAACCTAATCATATCTAGCATAGAACATGATAATATTATTATAATATTTACTAAAAAAATTCAAGATAATATATGCATAACATGAAGATAATATAGAAATACTTGAAATACCGTTAGTTAGGAAAAGGATGGTGTCTTACTCTGGCAATCAAAAGGCAGCTATCCATGGTTAACATGTGCATAGGAAATACACAAACATATACAAACTGGGCACTGTGTCAACCTAAAAGAGTGAATTACGATCTCATTTACTGAGGCTTTCGTAGCATATTTAACATGACCTCTAAGCATTGAATTAACTACGTTATACAACATTGAAGTGTGATAACACATGGAGCCCCTTAGGAATTGTGCACAAGTTGAAACAAAGCCTAAAAGCATTGTGTAACCACAATGCCCAGCAAAACAAAGGTGTAATAATAAATTGCTACTTAAATGACAGATTTTACAGGATAATACATGAGCAACAATCAGGGTGAAGGAGTGAGACCTGTGTCAACAAAAATCTTCATATTCATCAAGTTGCGGACACGTGGATCATGGAAAACCAGAATTCCCTCCAAGATGATTACATCAGATGCATTTACCTGACAAAGAATTTTGAACTTGTAGTTCAGAGAAGTTAAAAGGAATATTTATAAATTGAACCCAAGGTTTGCACAAGAACAATAATAGTAATAGCACCAGAACTACCCTGTCAAACATTAAAATCTCTGAATCGGTACACCAATCACCGGGATTGATCGAAAAGAAAGGCAACCAAAGGGAACAATTACTCTCTCTCTCTCTCTCTCTACACACAAAAACAAAGAATATTTACAATTCAGACAATGAGCACACTGGCCATCTTGTAAATGGTGAAGATGCCTCCTGAAACATTGGAATCTGAATATATTGTACCTATAGGGCTGTAAATAGGCCTCAAGGGTCATAAAATATTCTTTTCAATAATAAAACTAAAAATAGACTCGATGATTTAATTTTAACATGAAAACCTTATACGAAACTCCTCCCACAAGATGAAAACTGCGATCCTAACACCCAAATAATCCACTTAGCAAATCAAACACAGACAAAAGGAATTACAACAATACCCAAGTTCACCTAATTCTGAAATCCTCTACATCCTCCACTAGTTCGGCTTGGCTCGGTCAGCCTCCTTCAATTTGTTGGATAACCACAAGGCTCCTCACTTCAATCTTCGTACTTTGACAGCTCCGATTACCCAAACAGTCATGGGTGTCAAGATGATGCAATGTCGAGCAATTCAAAGTGCGTGAAGGCTTTTGTTTAAAATGTAGGAGAACGGGGATTAAAAACCAAAATCAGGTCAAATTAGGCTATTTTTTGCCGGGGCAATCGATTCCCAAGAAATCCCTCCTAGTGGAGATCGATCCCTTTGAGTGGGGATTTGATCCCTCAACAATCCCTCATAGGTATTGATCCCCAATCAATCTCCTGTAAATCTTGGATAAATATGTAAATTGAGGTGTGTCATCTATTCTATGGATATATGGTTACGAAGGTCACTACACCAGTGAAGAGTAGATATATAGTTCAAGTTGAAGGAATGCACAAAGTGATGGATAGAACATACCTGCCGGAAACTTTCCGAACACCTGCGATGGTTTTTAAAATCATATATTGGAACCTGTACAGATTGGGTACATCTGAGTTTCTCAATGCACTCTAGAAACTGCTCAGTGTCAAAAGCATCTACACACAAACAAGCATATAATTAAAAGATTTACACAAGTGCCCCCTGCAAGATGCTACTGAAATCTAGTTGCAGCATATATTCAGCAAAGCTGGAAGAAAATTACCACCAGAGCTTATTTACAACTGAAATTAAGTAAAGGGTTATATTTAATAATTAGTTTGATTACCGGGATGATCGAAATTATATTCATGCACACGTTTTGCTTCTTCAGCTGTCAAACCACGATAAAATGAATCCTACAGATAGCCAAACCAAATATATATCAAGAAATTTGAAAAGGGAAATTTTCTTTAATAAAAGAATGAACCAAGGCAAATTAGTAAGGACTCAAAGCTAACCCTTGATGCAATATTACAGTGATTGAAATTTACTAGTTTCTCCCACAGTCCCTTAATAAACTAATACAAAGAAAATTGAAAAAATAAATAAAATTAAAAAGAAAGAGTCTTTTTATCAAAGTGTTGTTAGTTCTTTCTATTAATAAAAAAAATCCAAACCTAAGAAGCACAAATATGGACACGGTGATTTGAAAAAAAAATGGGGACGCGGACATGATGGGGGCACATGCAATAAAAAAAAATTATATATTTTTATTTGCTATGTAGATTAATATTACATCTATAAACAATCAAAATTAACAAAAACTAACACTAAACATTGTCATATATGTCTTTTTTATGAATGGCCTATTAACTATTTAAATCTAAGCAAAAAGTAATAAACATTCAACATCCAACATTCATTAAAAGCACTAAAGAGGGGAGGAAACTAGTTCTCGTGTCCCCATAAAACAAATTAATTAAATGAAGGGACATAGCAGCTGGTGTGTCTTGTACATGTCTCTGTATCCGACACCATTAAGGCACCTGTTTTGGAGTGTTGATGCTTAATAGTTCCAAACTAGTACAAGTTATAAATTATTTCCCAATCTAGAGTAGATTTTTCCATATTGTAGACATATGATAAAAAATGTACGGTACTCCCAAAAAAAAAAAAAAATTACGTAAAGCCTCCACTTCGATTAGACGCTTCTAAAGCCTTCCACACTTCATAAAAAATACAGTCGCTATTCCAAATAGTGGCTTTTAAAGCCATCACACAAAGTTGATGCTTTGTGCTAGTGTGCAAGTAAAAAAAGCATACAATTTAAATGGTGGCTTTATATGGTACAAAATGTCCATATTTAATAGTTCTAATTATTCCTAAAGCCTTCATTCTTTGCCTAGGTTTAAAAGCCTCCATTCTTTGCCTAGATTTTTTTAATATTTTCATGATGAAACAAAGCCTTTGTTTTGAATGGAGATTTTAAAAGCATTTACTTTAGGTGGAAGCTTAAGTAGATGCTTTCAAAACCTCTAGTCAAAATGAAGGCTTAACATTAAAACTTTAAACTCACTTCTCCTTATGCGGAGAAACCAACACTACATTGAGAAATAGTTTCCAATCAAGACTAGTTTGGGATTTTTTTTTTTTCTTTCTAAGAAGGCAATATTTTGGTCAAAAACTTTAAAGCACCAATCAACTTCAAAACACAAGAAAATTGTCAAACAATCAAAAAGTACATTACATGCACCACCGTAGAAGTTCAAAACAATAAAGCATCAAATTTGAGTATCAGTCACCTTAAAAGCACCAATCAACATGAGCTGCTCAAAACATCTACTAACTTGATATTCTAACATAATAGCAAAAGCATTACAGAACAAGTTTTCGTACCTAAAAATGAAATTGTGTAAATAACAATATCCATATGTTTTCTTTAAAGTACTTACATTTTTACTATTTATTTATGGAAAGCTTAATTCAAGGTACACGACTACGCGTTATTTACTCAACTTATGTATTAGTGATGTATTAATGAATACCTTTGATATTATCACTACATATCAAGACAAATTAAGGAATCTTCAATGGTTGATACAAATCCTACAATACATTAGTGGTACTTATATATTGTCCGCACGTCAAATACCGCACCAAATTTCCAGCTAATAAAGACAATGTCACACTCTTTTGTTTCTGCCTATGAATATCATAACAACCCTGTAAGAAAGCAATCATGACAGGTGTACACTATAAAAGTCAAATGCATGCAAAAAAAGATTATTCCTTTAATGACGGCTTTGACTTCTATATAAGCACACTCGAGCATGAAGCATTTTTGGTTTACTAACTATTCCATACAGCAAAAGAACAACTCCTATGTCCACAAAATCTCCTTTCTTTCTCTCTTTGTTTGAATTTTCAAAGGATCTTCCTACTCTGCATCTAAACTACAGGTATTGGTTTACTAACAAGGGCCACCTTTCACTCACCCACACTCGCACAGAACATCTTGAGCTTGCTAGGGCAACAAGCTTCATTCCACAATCTCCCAAGGAGGGTAAGACTTCAAGGGATGGACTCGATCGAACTTGAATCTTACAAAAGACGTCACTCTACGAGGGAAGTCCCCAAGTCGAGTCTTTGCGAGTCAAGTCGTGAAAGCCCTCACTTTATTGATGGGACATTTTGATTGCCGGACAAGTGAGTAGTTGAATATCTAACAAAAGGACTAAGCTTAAAGAGGACCATAGACCCAAGAAAAGAAGGTCTTCCATACGGCATCTGTTCGCGAATCCATGATGTAGTGGATACATCTCCGATAAAACAATTTTGATTTTATCCTCGCTTGAAAATAAAAATGATGTTCATGCTTTGGGAGAAGGAAAAAAAATAAAAATAAATTGCTTACATAGAGTAAGATTTAAAAATATTTAGAGTGTAGCATATTCAAAATGCACAATTGGTGATATCAAAGTAATAAAAGGTAAGAAAAGTGTATGCACCAAAATTTAACCGCTTGTTAGAGAACAACAATGTCCAACAAACCTGATTCACAAGCACAACGCGATGATCATGAAGCTGTTGAATGATCATGTCACACACTGTCGTCTTACCAGAAGCCGTACCTCCCGAAACTCCTACTCAATTTTCACACCAAAAAAAAAAACACTTGATCAAATTGAAATTTCATCTCATTGGAGCCCTAAAACACAGAACTGATAGTTGAAGCAAAAATAGTAAAAAAAATATTTTAATTGATACGAAAATCGAAAGAAAGCTTCCAATCTTGCAATTGAATGCGGAGAATTTATATCTGCCAATCAAACGGAGCTTACGGTGAGATCAGAAATCGAAAAAAATGAAAAGGAAAGTGAGAGATTACCGATGACGAAGGGCTGTTTGGGGCCATTGGAGTCGGCTAGGGTTGAGGAAGATGAAGAAGAAAGAGGAAGCGCCGGCGAGCGACCAGAAGAAGGAGAAGAGAGGAGGCCGTCGAGTCGCAGGCCTGAGAAATGAGGCCCTGATGCTGCCTCCATCACTATATCTATCGGCGTCGTCTGCTCCGGCATCGTCTCTCTCTCTCTCTCTCTATATATATATATATATTCTCTACTATCGACTCTTCTTCAGACACCAGGCACTCGAATCTCTCTCGCCCTCCCTCTCTCTTCGGAGCAGTGCCAAGCAGCAGCCTGAATCGTAATTTGGGACTTTTTGTCGCGACTAGTTATACTCAGGAGTCACGTCGCATATAAACATTAATTTTTTAAAAAATAGTATTATAAGACCCGTTTGTTTGTTTGGGTTTAGAACATCTCCAATCCAATCTACTAGGTATATTATGTTTGTTAGTTAAAATATCTAGTATAATTTATTTTTTTCAATTCTAATGTACTAGGCATATGATTAGGCATTTTAGCTTAACTCACATTCACTACCTACGTGTAGCTAGCCTTCAAGACTAGGCAAAATGTATTTAATCATTAGGATCATTTCCCTCCATCTTTGTTGCTGATGTGACATTTTATAAAATTAATAGTATTTAGATGAATAGCTAAAATAAAGAGCATGGTTGGAGTAAAAATATGAAATAATTGATAGGCAAAATAAAATATATACTTTATAGTAATATTTAAATAGGTAAAATGCCTATTACCGTTGGAGATGCTCTTATAGGGAGGGGATTGAGTTTGATAGTGATGAGGGAATTGAGAATGGAGTGTTTGTTTTGAGAGATAGGGAGGGGATTAGTAATCACTTGGGACTAGTAAGGAGGAAAAAGGGAGATTGGTAAGGAGAAGGTAGAGATTGTATTAAAAAAATAGTGAGGGAATTAGAATTTTTTTTATTTTTTATATATGGAGAATTTTTTTTAAAATATTAATGTTTAATTTTCATATTTTTTATTTATTTTATTATTTTATATAAAAATAATTTAACAATTCCTCACTATTAATTTCTTTACTATCAATTCCCTCACTATCAATCCTCTAAAGACATAATTTTTAATACTTAATGGATTTAAATTTTTATAAAAATATTTTATTGACGAATCCTAAAATATAAATAATTTCAATTATTTATGAATAATTCAAAAATATTAAAAAATAAATTATTTAAATTATTTATGAATAATTATTTAAATTATTGATGAGTCTAAAATATATAGGGAGATTTAGTGATAGACTCTTTAGTGTCTAACTTGTCTTTCAAAATAATAAAAATTATATAGATCATTTCAAAATATATATATGTGTGTGTATATCAACTTATAATCACTCTCTCTTCTCTCTATTTTGCACTTATCACTATTCTCTTCATCGGTGCCATCGATGCTCTTTATTAGTACCACTCACCATGAAACTCTTTCTCTACCGTTTTCATCACCACCATCATTTGTTGCATCCACAACTTCAGATCTAAGATCATTCACAATTGTCGTCATCAAACAATGACGATTTGTGACGGTTCGTAAATCTCAAATCTGGGATCGTTGACTCCCTCTCTCTCTCTCTCCCTCTTTGGTTTTGATGGTTCGTGCTCTCTCTCTCTCTCTTTTCTTTTTCTTATTTTTCTTTTATTAATTCTCTGATTTCGAACTTTGTCTTTCTATCTCTCTTTTTTTCTTTTCATGATACTCTGTTCTTTGAACAGTAAAATTTTATTCCGAAAAAGCCATCATCGCAGCTTATTTCAGAGTAAAATTTTACTTTAAATTATAATAAACGTTACTCTGATTCAGAGTAAAATTTTACTTTGTAATTATAATAAACGTTACTCTAATTCAGAGTAAAATTTTACTTTGTAATTATAAAAATAAAAAAATAATAATAAAATTTATTCTAAACTAGAATGAAATTTACTATGATTCAAAGTAAAATTTTACTGTCATTAAGCAGATCAGTATGTTGTTAAACAAAATAAAATTTTACTGTTACGAAAACATAGTACATATTACATGAACGAACTAGAGTCAAATTTGTACTTTTAGATCTATGAACAAACAAACAAACAAACAAACAAAAAAATTTTAATTTTTCATTACAATATCTCGATTTCTCATTTTTCTATCAAGTATAATTTTTTTTTTTAATCTCTGATATTAAGTTATTGATCTCAAATATGAGTTATCAGGTATTAAATCTAAGATAGTGGTGATTTAACGGTAAAAATGGTGATTTCCGAACGATGGTGAGGATGAGCAACGTTGATAGACGATGAAGACGGTGGAGACGATATACAATCATCGAGTTGGTGAAGAAAGAGAGAGTGTTGTAAAAGAAATGGGATTTTGTAGAAGGTATAATAGTCAAATAGTCAAATAACAAATTTTATTTTGCAGAGGTGAAGAATTGTAGAAGGTGAAGAAATTTTGTAGAGTGTTGTAAAACAAATTTTATTTTTCAAATAACAAATAGTCAAATTGTAGAAGGTGAAGAAAGAGAGAGTGTTGTAGAAGGTATAATAGTCAAATAACAAATTTTATCATTTATACAAAATTTTATAATTATAAGGATTTTGAAAATATTAATTTTTTTTTGTTCCTTTAACTAAAAATAAATAAAAATTAAGTGCAGTTTGTGGCCAAATTTCTCAAATATGAATGGCCAAAAAATCGACCTACCAGGACAAACTAAGTTTGGGAAGTCTCAAAAAAGTCAGAAAGTCAAAAAGTTACTCAAAAAATTAAAAAGTTATCACTATTTACCACAAGTCAACAATTACGGCTGCACAACTCTCAATACTAATTCTCCCCTACACATTAATTTATACAATTTTTTAATACACATTTTTTCATAAAAAGTCAAAAAGTTAACTTAAACATTCATATTTTCAACCTCAACTTTTTAGTTTAAAAAGACAAAAAGTACACTTATTTAGGACACCCTAAACAATCCCTTTTACATATTATGATGGTCACGTGGCATAGAGGATAAATATAAAAAACAAAAATTAGTTACCTTAATTAAACCGTCTAAAAGACTGGATCCCTTTTTATATTATGATGGTCACGTGACATAGAAGATAAATATAAAAAAACAAAAAGTAGTTACTTTTTAATTAGGTCGCAACTGTCACATAACATAATAATTTGGATAAATTTATCCAAATTACAAATAGAGATTTGATCAAAATATAAATCGTTTCCTATAATTTTAAAAATTACACTTCACTCATAAGATTTTTAATTTCATAACAAATTATTTCTTTTATTAATAAATCATCAAATCAATTAATAGTTTTTAATGATATTAGAAATATATTTTAATTAATAATGTCAACCAACCGGTTGCCCAGCGCAAATTTGATGAAACGGATTTGATGTTGAACCGTTGGAGCGCGAAGTATCAAATTAAAGAAATGACCCATTTTTGACTCAGATTTGGTGAAACATTTGGTACACCGTTGGAGATGCTCTAAAAGACTGGATCCCTTTTTATATTATGATGGTCACGTGACATAGAAGATAAATATAAAAAAACAAAAAGTAGTTACTTTTTAATTAGGTCGCAACTGTCACATAATAATTTGGATAAATTATATTTATCCAAATTATAAATAGAGATTTGATCAAAATATAAATCGTTTCCTATAATTTTAAAAATTACACTTCACTCATAAGATTTTTAATTTCATAACAAATTGTTTTTTTTATTAATAAATCATCAAATCAATTAATAGTTTTTAAGGATATTAGAAATATATTTTAATTAATAATTTAAGTAATTTTATTATTATATAGGAGAGTAATTATAAATTTTATTTTTTTAGTTAATTCTATTAAATAAAAATTTTTAACAAGAAAGTGTTTATAATTTTTCAAACTATAAAAAATAATTTATACTTTAAGCAAATCTTAATAATTGTATTTGTAATTCATCCTACTGGTAAAAGTATGAAATATGTAATTCTTGTAATTATTAAAAAGTTATAAGTATAATTTATTTTTATTATTATTATTATTATTATTGTTGTATAAAATTAGAAACCTTCATTTGACGGCATCGTTTTTGGTTGCACGTTTTCTCTTTTTGGAGAAAGATACCGTAGGAATATACGTAAAAGGACGGGCATCCTCAATATGGGTTAGAATAGAAAACTAGAAAAATGTTTGGGACCCTAATTCTGTGGCTCAAATATGGCTCAAATGGCCAAAACGACGTCGTTTTGACCATTTTGATGTTGTTTTGTACTCAAAACGACGTCGTTTTGACCATTTTGATGTTGTTTTGTACTCAAAACGACGTCGTTTTGACCATTTGAGCCACATTTGAGCCACAAAATTTGGGCCCTCTACCATTGCTGATAGAACTAGTAGTGCGAATAAAGACAAGAAAAATGCTTGGGAGTACTAATTAGTGCTCCCACTAATTAGGTGGCAGTGAATCTCGCCAGTAATGATGTGATGTTTTAGTCTTGGAGTTGTATTTTTTTTTTTTTTTTACTTTTTTAATGCATTAGTGCTATTAGTGGTCATGTTTTTAGTGGGATGAGTAAAGACAAATATAAAAGCACACTCACCTATCCCTTGAGGTTTTTGATAAATAAAAGGAATTTTTTTATTTATTTTTATTTTTTTTATAATTTTAATAATTACAGTAATCTTTCTTACTTTACTTGACATTCTCTAGATACTCCTATTCCATCAAATTGGAACAAATGGTGTTACTTGCATAGAGTAAATTACCTTATTACCTTTCTTTTTTAGCAACAAAAGACGATACTACCCTTGTTATTATTCCTTTGTTCACCTTATTTCTCTGTTGACCCACAAAATGACATTTTTTAAATTTATTTTTTTTTAAATATTAAAAAATATTTAAGAAAATTTTATTTCTTTATTTTAAATAAATAATTTTTTATTTTAGAATCTAAGTTTTGAAAAAATAATTTTTGAATTGAGTTTTGAGTTGTGTATTTGGTTACGAGTTTTGAGTAATGTTGTGTTGTTTATTTAAATATTTTATTTTATTTTATAAATATATTTTTAAATATTTTAATTTTTTTTTGTTATGTGTTTAGTTACGATTTGAGTGCTGAGTTTTGAAAGTAGTATGGAGTTTTTAGTTATGTATTTGGTTATAAGATTTGAAAATAATTTTTAAATTAAGTTATGAGTTATGTGTTTGGTTACGATTTAAGTATGAAGTTGTGTTTTGAGTTTAAAATATTAAAATTTAAAAAAATTAAAATATTTACAAAATAAAATAAAATATTTAACATAAATTTTTTTTAAAATTTTAAATAAAAATTATATATTTAAAATAAAAAAATAAGTTTTTCTTAAACATTTTTTAATATTTGAAAAAAATAAATCCAAAAACACTGTTTATTCAAAACACTGTTCCTTCTCATAGTAAGGTCATTTTCTTCCAAACCCATCCTCCAATCCAAAAATATTTTTTAATATTTTAAAAAGAAGGGCAATAAGGTCATTTACTATAGGAAAGTAACACCGTTTGTTTTAATTTGACAGAATGAGAGAATTTGGAGAATATCAGGTAAAGTAAGAGAAGTTACTATAATTATTAAAACTACAAGGGACTCCTATATTTGTTAGAAGTCTAAGGGGAGATGAGTGTAATTTATCCTATATAAAAATAATTTGTCTTAATTTAATAATTTTATTTTAAAACGCAAAAAAATTTACCATTATTTATACAATATTTACAAGTTTATTACTACTGCATCGTTTTGAAAGTTTGGTGAAATATTATTTTTGACGTGTCAAATCATGTTTGGAGCAATTTATCACTGGGTATGTTAATTAGGACCAAGGATCCTCTAGAGTTTTTTTTTTCTTAAAGTTTCCTAGAGTGGTGTGTTGTATGGTTGAGATTTAATGCTAAAAAATTGATGTGACTTGTCATGAAATCTCAACCATACAACTTACTACTGCATCGTTTTGAAAGTTTGGTGAAATATTATTTTTGACGTGTCAAATCATGTTTGGAGCAATTTATCACTGGGTATGTTAATTAGATCCTCTCATTGGGAGGCTAATAAAAAGGTAAAATAGATTAAAAAATTAATAAGATAAAATATTATATTTAAATTGTAATTATTTTATTTTTTTTCTCATAAAATTTTAAAAAATAAAATATTCGACTCAAATGTTTTGAAAAGTAAGTTAAACGTTAAATTTTTGACTTCTTTTTATAAAAAAAAACGTGTAAAGAAATAGAGAGTTGATGTGATTATAAAGAGGTTAGAAGTCAAAAAATCATTTTTAACCTATTTGTCAAAAAGCCAATCCATCTCTCAAACGAAACTTTAATGTGTTCAATATGAGATTTATTTTGTTTTAAATTATTTATTTAAATAATAGAAGAATAAGCCGTAAACTTAAGGCTGTGTTCGATGTGTAGTTCTAATCGTGATTCCATACTTATATTTGAGCACCAAGGATTCTCTAGAGTGAAATTTTCCTAAAGTTTCTTAGAGTGCTACATTGTGTGGTTGAGATTTACTGACAAGTCACATCAGAAAAATTGATGTGACTTGCCAATAAATCTCAACCACACAATGTAGTACTCTAGGAAACTTTAGGAAAAAATCACTCTAGAGGATCCTTGCTCATATTTGAGTATGGTGTTTAGTAACAAATTTCAAAAATTAATTCCACACAACTTTTGAAAACTTGTTTCAAGTGGGATTTGAATTTTGAAATTTGGCCTATCCGGACGTCCGACCAGTCGGTTGACCAGAACAGTGCAATTTTTTTTAACACCTGTTATTTTTTATATATTAAATAAAAAATATATTCTGAATTTTTTAAATTTTTTTATGAGTTTTGAATATAATTTTGGGTTATGTATTTAGTTATGACTTGTAAGTTTTAAAATCAAATATCATATGTCACATCAATTATTCCAAATTCAATTCAAAACTCATAGCCAAACAAATTTTTCACACTCAAATCATAATTTCAAAACTCACAAATTCAAAATACAACTTTATTCACAAATCATAATTCTAAAACTTTATTAAACACTACCTAAGACTTTGAGAAACCATAGTTCAAAGATTTACCTTACTCAGAGTGGCTATAGTTACTAAATTAATATGATTTTTTTTTTGTTTATAAATAATTTATACACATGAACCCAAAAAATAATATGGACGCATAATTAGAGTACAGTGCACATAAGAGCGTCTCCAGCAGAATCGTTATATCATCAATTTTGTTATTTTAGCTAGTTTCAAGCTTGAAAATGAGTCTCCAACAGCCTCATCAGAAGCTTGTTAAAATGATTTTGCGCTACAGTAACTCGTTAAAGAAGATGAGGCATTGTGCTCTAGCCTCATAATTTTTTATTATTTTTTTCGTTCCTCGCGTTGATCTCTGGACAGGTGTCCTCTTTAGCTTCTTTTTTTTTTTTTAATAAATATTATATTTGAAAGAAGAAAGAATAAAAAATAATATTTAAAAGAAGAAAGGTAGTTAAAGTAGATAGCCTTGTTGGAATGCATATTAAAAAAATGACTAATTAAAATAGTAAAATAAAATTTTGAATAGCTATTTTGAGTATTCTCGTTGGAGATGCTCTAATAGACCAATAATAGACCAATAGGTTGCCGTCGTTGGCATAGGCTAAATTGAGGTTGAGATTTAAAATAGTTATAAAAAAAAATAGATTAAAAAGGTGATAAAATAAATGGCATATTCAAATTATAAATATTTTGTTTTTTTCTTTCACAAAATTTTAAAAAGTCAAAAAAAATAATGAGACTTTTTAATGCTAAATTAAAATAGCCAAAAATAAATAAATAAAAAAATAAGTCAACTCATTCCAAACGAAACCCAAAAGTACATTGGAGAACAAAAGGGAAATTGGAGAACAAAAGAGAAGTCAAATCCCATTTTTATGTTGAGCCTCCTATAGAGGGGAAAAAAAAAAGACCGTTCACATTAAAGCTTATTTTTTGAATTTTCAAACAATATTCTCACAAAACGAACGCTAAGATGAAATGTTAGTATTTTAAAACTTGTTATTGTTTTAATGTCCAAAAAAATAAAACGAATAAAGAGAAAAGCAATCAAACAAGCCCTAAAGAGTTTATTCTCAAAGGTGACAAAAATTAAAATTATCTGTCCTAAACAGAGTAACTCTCCAATCAAATGAGTCCTGACTCCTCACATGAAACCTCTTGCACTGGGCAGTCTTTTCTTATGAATTACAGCTGATGTCTAAAAAATGAGATAATTTGATTATAGACAATATCCTTGGCAGTAACCCCGATTATGAAATCAGCATGAGCATAGTCTTTGATGTACTGAACACTTAGCTTGTCCGGATCGTGTAACTTTAGGCTGTCAAGCAAAGTCTCCACATCTCTAACATCAGAAAGTGCATCTTGACCTCCATAGCTGAGAAAGAGAGGAAGGTTGTGAGGAATGTTGCTGAGATTATACATAGGCGGTCTCAACTCACCGTAATGCTTCACATTGTAGAAGAGATTCCCGTAGTCGTATTTGGACAATGTTCCATCTCTAACAGCTGCAAATTAGTAACTGTGTTAAGTGTCCTTTGCAATTACTTATCAATTTAACGCTCCGTTTGTTTCAGAAGAAAAATGATTTCTTTTAAAAGAAATAAGCTTTTCTTCCATCTACTAATTAGATTGGAATATCCAGTTTATAGGTTGTGGTCCATTTCAAGCTCCATCTCAACGATCTGTGAATCATTTATCTTTCAGAGTCTACTAAATAAATTATCCATGTGAACAATTTGGGATTGTTTGGCATGTACTACTTCAACATATTTTCTTTTTATTTTTTTATTTTATTTAGGTCATATCACCTTTTATTTGGATCACATTACTTATCTGCCACATTATATATCGTTTAATAAGAAGTCAAAAAGTATACTTATTTATATTATCCCAAACAATCCCTTAAATTGATTGAATATTACTAATTACTTAATTAGATCACCTTTTATTTTCAAGAATTTGACAGTTTATTCTCAAACAAAAATGTAGTATCTATTTTTTGAAAACAAATGTAATCTAATTATATGATTAAGGATATCTGATCAATCTAATTTATCTACTCGATGAAGAGCACTGGACGAATCGTTGATAAACAAAATAAGTCAAAAGTGGACCCACAGCCTATAAACGGGACCACCCTCCAATCCAATTAGTAGAATGGAGGGAAGTCAATCCTTTTTTTAAAAATATTTTCCATAATTAATGAGAATTGTGTTAAGTTTAATAAATACGTTTTGCACTTTTTAAATGGAAAAATATTCTCAAACTAGAGTAACAACAACATCACATAGTCACCACTACCACCACAATCCTATATATTATCACCACTACTATAGCCACTACTCTCTCGTTACTATCTCTCCAACCACGTGTTTATAATAATTCTTTACGTACGCGAACACAGTGTGTGAATACACCAACTAAATAATTCCTTTGGTGGCTACCTTTCCTTATGTCTTCATTTGTGGCTCTTAAATTTCTCTCTTTCATATAAAATAGGCCAAGGTAACTCTTACGGGCGGTTCCTTCTAACAACCACCTTTGCCGCAACTCACCACCACCACCACTGTGTTACTACCACTACAAACACCGTCACCTCTATACAATCACCACTAGTACACAATACTTTCGGGATCACAACTAAACACATGAAAATGGTTTTTAACAAAAATATATTTACTTGAGAAGAACATTTTTCGTCGAAAGAAAAGGACATAAGTTAAAACTTAAAAAGTATTGCTGTCTTGTAACATAAACTTACTTTGAGCCAGATGCACCAGGTTTTTAGTTGCTGTAGATTGAGGCTCATGCTTCAAGAAGAGCTCAACTGTCGAGGCATTAAGACAACAATTTTTCCCTTTAACACAAAGATTTACATACAATATCAGTACAATTTCTCAATTATGCTTATTATTATTGAATATGTTCGATTCTATATACACGTGAAAAATGGTGAAATTCAACCCAGTAATTTAAGTAGCAGCCTTCAAATTTTAAAATGTTAATTGGGGATAGATTAGTACCTGTAATTGCAGTTAGTAAGTCATAACAGTTCACGCCCGGTTGAGCACACAAAGCCTTCAGGAAGTTCATTACCGGCTCACTATTAAAAGAAAACAATTATTTTTTAGTTAGCATAAATCCATCTTTAATTGACGATAAATGTTGTCTTTTCTAAGGCAATTGGGGTTCATAATTAGAGTTTGGTTGTTTACCCTTTTGGATTGAATTCTGCAAGGCCAAACAGCGTCGTGATCTGTTAACAAAGCCAAAAATTGATTCGAGGGGTTACAATCATTATGTGTATCATACGTACTAACTACAAATTTAGAAATATAAATTAAACTGAGCATTGTGTCCTAATCAAATGAAATTAGATATGTACCTCCCCAACAAATGCTTTGGCTGCAACATTGCCGAGTGCAGTGGTCATATGGCTCAAGTAAGCGATAGGACTTAGCAACGCCGCTGATTTCACCTTGTTTATTTGTCGCCCTTCTGAAAAAGATGCCAAAGCTACCAAAGTTCCCTACAAGAGATCATGCACATTTTATTACATTAGTTATCTTTGTTTATCGATCTCTCTATATATGAACGCAATCCTAGTTACCATGGAGTGGCCAACATAATCAATCTTTTGCCCCGTTTGTTTGAACACAAAATCAATAACAACTGGTAAGTCATGTGTTACTAGATCATCCCACGTCCAGTTCCAGAATTCCTGTCAATTTTTCCACGTTCATAAAACTCCATTAGTGTACCTTTCTCATCCTTTGGCTAATAAACCAACATTGGCTGTCACACGATCGATCAAATTTGGAATCAATGGTCTCAAATTTGAAATAATTTCTCAAAGAGAAAAAGAGAGAGAAGAGGAGTACAGGGTTGGTAGCATCAAGGGTCAAATGTCGACGACTGAACTTGGTCCCTCTGGTATTAGAGATCCACACATCGAAACCACTATCAGCCAAGATGAATGCTAACGATTCATCTGGAGAATTTAAGACCCATGTCATTCCATCCTGCATTCATCCAGACCCACACAAATTCACAATCACACCTATATACACACATGTACTGATATTTTTCGCTTAATTTTCAATAACAAATAAACAAGAGGAACTATTCACTATGGTATGCTACAATTCACTGATCCCCATGCCACACTAATAAATTGTGTGAATCGTGCGGGTAAACCTTGCGTACAGCATGCAACATAGTAATTTTTTTTTATATCCTCTAATTTGGGAGCTTTAAAAGAGTACTAATCATATGAAAAATCAAAATCAAAACATCACATCACATGAGACTCACGTACCAATTAGAACTATTAGTGCTCTTAAATCTTTTTTCATTTTTTTTTACTGATGCACTGCATTAACATGTAAAATGCGGAAGAAATACATATACACTATTTTCTACCGCCCCTTCACACTAAAAAAATGAGGTCACCAATGATGATGTAGATCTCATTCATATATATTGTGGGTGGGAGATTAAAAATAAAAATAAAAACTGTAAAAAAAATAGTATGTCTGATAAGAATACTAACAGACAAATGGCCAAAGTAGAAAACACATGTCTGAGTCTGTGCTTTTGACTCAAATAGGGTGGCTTTTTGTGCACGTAAGAATACAAACAAATCAAAGGCGTCAGAACCTGGCTACGTGCTTGCTTTTCTTTGCGATTGCATGCTTCGAAGGATAGGAAGGATAGATCTCGAGAAATGGGCTAACGGATCGAGTTGCAGTGGAGAAAGAATAATTCAGATCAATTTTATATATGAGACAAAAGGCGAGTCTCGTACATGATGTGAGTCGCATATAAGATCCGTTTTTATCTAATATTTGTGATTATTTTTGTAAATTTTGTCGGTGTTCTCAGTGTTATGATTTTCCTTTTTCCTAACCATCAGATAGGAACCTTTCTTTTTTGGTTTTTTTGGAATTGATAAACACCGGTGGTTATTGGGTATTTCTGGAGTACGACACGTGTGTTCTATGGTATTATAATTAGTGGAGAATGTGAGATATTAAATTTTGTGTTGGATGATTAAGAAATATGAAATGATAATTAATTAAAAAAAAACATGAAAACATAAGGGAGTACTTAATAATTTTCCATAACACACCATTTCCAAAAGAGTAATACTATAATATATGCACCAATTAGTATACAAATTAATACACCAATTAATGATGTAGCATAATTTAAGATGTTTTTAGTATTTGTAACTTGTATAATGAGGGGGGTCAATCATAAAATCATAACTAGTATTGGTATGCTAATTAGTATACTAATTGATATATGTAGTATTACTTTTTCCAAAACCCATATCATCTCGGAAGTGAGATGATTACCCAAGATGTTTTAAGATGTGATTTGCCAGTAAATCTCAACCACACAATGTAGCACTCTAGGAAACTTTAGGGAAAAATCACTCTAGAGGATCCTTGGTGCTCGAAAGTTGGGTAATTGTTTCTCTTGCTCTAATCATTCACAAAAAATGGGTTTCATGCATCAGAAGATATAAAGATAAAGAAACTTTATCATTAAATTTATTCAGAAATTGAGTTACGTTGTAGATTGAAATTTAATGTGTTGTGAAGCATATTTATAATGTATTTGATCCATATAATTACAATTTTAAGTATTTTAATTTTTTTTTCTTACATGTAGTATTACAGTTCATACATGCATCATGTGACTTTTTATCTCAGAAAACACATATGTTTCGTGTTGACTTTTTTGTTTTTGACACATTTAGCCTCTGTTTGGCAAGTGAGGTTGGAGGCTTTTTTGGCTATTTTAGCCACAAAAAATAAAATAGGCTATTTTAGCCATAACAAACAAAATATCACATCCAACCCATAATCATTACATTCTTCTCTCACAAAAAAACTCAAAAAAGCCAAAAAGCCAAAAAGTCCTTCCCAAACCAAGCTTTTAAGCCCAGGCTAAAATAGCCAAAAAAGCCAAAAAGTCAAAAAGCCAACCCACTTCCCAAACCAAGCCTTAATTGCTGCATCACCTTAACTTTGGTTTTTTTTTTTTAATCGGCAAAGAAAATTTTTATTGATGAAAGTAATCAAAAAAAGATACTCCCTCCGTCCCAAAATAATGGTCCCTTTTGGGGAATCCAACTTTTTTTGGTAGTACAATTATTGCATTTGAAAAAAGTTGATTTTCCAAAATTATCCTTTTGATAGTACATTTTTTGGGAATATCAATGCATAATTGTACTTTTTATGTTGTTTATTAATTTAAAAGAAGGGTAAAATAGGAAATTTATATTATTTTTGTACTTGATTTTTGAAGAGGGACTAATATTTTGGGACAATGAAAAATAGAATAAGGGACTAATATTTTGGGACGGAGGGAGTATAAAACATCAATAAAAAGGAGCTTGAACTTTCAGAAGCTTCATGCACCAATTGGTGAGAAACCAACAAACAAGACAAGAACAGAAAAAAGAAAGGCAACCACAGCTCACAATATAGCAGACCAAATGAGCTTCACCCGAATCATATTCAGATCAGTCCCCAAAGCTAGCAGACTGCACAATATGTGGCACCTCTCCCCTGAATCCACTACAGATATGCTTCAAATTTGCACCAACATCATGCAAAGCTGAATGAAGTCTCCAAGAACCCAGACTACACAAACACACTACAGAAGCTTGACACCATAGTCGTTACGTTTCTATTTCATAAGGTTGCGTGTATGGGAATCCTTTTGGTGTATAATATACGCACTTAATTTTGTGTTTTTGGGATAATATATTATATAATTTTATAGTAAAATTATAAAATTTGTGATTTGGAAATAAATTTATATATTTTTGTGATAAAATTATATATTTTGTGGTAATATTATACATTTTGTGGTTAAAAAATGTATCAATGAAAAAATGCATAATATTAATAAGCTTGGTATTGGGTACATGATACTTTCGATCAATGAAAAATCATAATAGGTACCAAATGAGTCATCTTTTATCTCTTAAATATTAAAAAGTGCGAGTCAATATATTTCACTTGTAATAAATGACAATTTCCATATTATCAAGTTTTTTTTCCTTGAAAAGAAGAGAGCTTATGCCTAGTTTTCCATATTTCACTTGTAATAAATGACAATTTCCATATTATCAAATTTTTATTTATTTTTCTTAAAAAGAAGAGAGCTTATCTCCAGTTTTCTAAGTAGATTGGAAGGTCTAATTTATGCCTGAGTGCCCATCATTAATTTTCAAGACCTTTATGTATAAATTATCTATAAAAAAAAATAAATCAAATTTGTCCAATAATTGTAGCCATATAATAATATGAGATTTTAATTATTTTAATAAATGTGAAGTTTTGTGACATAAACTGTTTATATAAAAGGTATATTAGGATTTTAAATAAAATTAAAGGTAGTATCATAATACACATGTATATAGCAGCCTTGCTTACCACGAGAACCCCATGTTGCAATAAGACTGGCTGCTTGGTCTTCCCACCGCCACCACCACCACCACTTCCTAGACGACCTTGAGGAATTCTCTGCACGCTTAATATATACCCATCATCTGTTCTCACCTACCAAAAAATCACACCACCAAACCTTATACTATGTTACATTGATTGCTACCATAATATAAAGAAACAATGTAATATAGTACCATTATAATGTTATTAAATAAACAAATAATAAGCTGTTACGTACGTACGTGGAACTCTTGGCATCTGTAACCATGCACCGTCACCGCCGAGCATATGCCAGCACCGCCTTCTAGGCCGAAAGAACCCTGGCTCAAGCCGAATGCTCGATAAGGCTCGATGATGATGGAGGCATATAATATCAACAGAGCCAAACTCAATAAGCTATGGAGATCCATTTTTTTTTTTTTGGTATTGGCTTTGTTGGTTGGGGGTGATGATATTAGCTAGATCTGTATATCAATAATGTTTTTAAAAAGGGTCTGGGACTTCCTTTATAAGAAGAAAGGAAGAGAAAGAGGGAGTGATGAGAGAATGTGAAAACGAATTGGTACTCTGTTGGCTTCAACTGACTAAAATAACCTTTTTCACGTTATTTCCAGTTTGAGAATAAGGGAATGGGTCTGGGACCCACTTTGGTATTTTTTCTTTCATTTATCTTCAATCAATTGTTCATATATATCATGGCATTGAGAGGGAAAATTTAATTTTGTGGTCCAAGACACGTGGTCCTATCTTGATTAATGACAATTATTAGATCTTTTACTTTTTTTAATTACTTAATATATTATGAATGTTATTCCCTCTACAAATCATAATATACTTTGAACACCAAATAGCTTCTCAAGAGAGCTTCTCAAGAGAAAAGTGGAGGACATGAATGTAACAGAATTTTGTCACTTGGAAATGATTGCAATTGGAATTTGGCGGTTGGGACGCTGTACATACTAGTGAGTGACTGTGATTATTAAAAGTAGAGCGTGTGAGCTACGGTTAGAATAATTTGAAAGTAAAATCATGAATTGAATAGTGGATTAGTAAAGTGAAGAATTGATAAATTGTGATTTCGACAGTTTTGAAGGGATTAAAAAATATTTTAATTAATTATTAAGTATTTATATAATATATAATACTAATTTACATAATAAGTTCTAGAGAACCAAAAAATGGAGAGAGATAGGAGAGAGAGAAACGGAGGTTGGATTCTGGTTGTCAATCAATGGAAAGGTGGTCGAGGGCAAAGAAAGGAATCAGCGCATGGCCTTTTTACAGTCTTTGTGGATCACATTCCATCAAGTGTGGATGCTAAATCAGTTTACAAACTTTTCACAAAGTTTGGCATAGTGAAAGATGTTTTCATCCCCTATCGAAAGGAGAAAAGTGTCAAATTCCAGATTCGGGTTCGTGCGATTCGACTGTCGTGTAGCAGCAGATGTAGCCATACAAAAAGCTAATGGTCTCCTGGTGGAAGATAAGGTACTAGAATTCAAAAATGCCACTTATGATAGAAGAAACAGATAGGAGCATAGCTAGAGCAAGCCACAGTACGTCAGAAAGCCTGAGTTTATAAATAGAGATTTTGTTACCAATAGATCCAGAGGTCAAGTTCTACCTGGTGGACATAGATCCTTCGCTGACATATTAAAAGGTGTCCCCCCCCCCTTGGAGGCTGGGAAAGCAATCACCACCATAGAAGTTAACGATGAGGGTCGTGGTTGGCTTTACGATAGTGCCATAATTCATTTTAAAGCTGAATATTCCACTCACAGCATTATCAAAGCTCTGAAGGAGAAAGGGTTGGAGCAGATCATGGTCAGAAAAGGGGGAGGTCGTGATGCAATATTAACTTTCAACTCTCAGAATGAGCTGCACTCACACATTGGGCATATCAAAGAGTGGTTCAAAGATTGGAGCCAATTTGTGGCAGAATGGAAGCCTGGATTCTATCTGGAGCCAGAAAGATGTGTGTGGTTGAGATGTTATGGCATGCCTTTGAACGTCTGGAATAGAAACACTCTCAACAACATTGGTAGCGTTTGGGGCTCGGTGCTTAACCTGGATGGTGATGTGTGTCATCCTAAATCCTTCTCTCATACCAAAATTAGAGTGGCGACCTTATCGATGGAGTTCATTAATAAAACTCTGACCTTGGATTGTAAAGGCAAAACACATTCTATTCTGGTGTGTGAGGATCATGTGCCTGACTCTAATAATCTAAAACACAATGGCATGGATGACTACAGCTTCATTGAAACCTACTGCAGTGCAGAGGCAGGAAACAAACCAGAGATGGAAGGCAGGGAAAGGAAGATGATGATAAGGTGATAGAAGATAGTGCCTCGTTTGGTGCTGAGATTGCTTGTACCAAGGAGAAAATAAAGAGTAAGGAGCCTATTGACTGTCAATTAGGTAAGGAAGTGGACACAGTTGTTGAGGAGACAGCTTTCGAAGCCGGCTGTGACAACCCTCACCTCTAATTAGTGTTAAACTATGATTGAGCATGATAAGTAATTAATTAGAATGAAATCCTAATCTGTTTACATGAGTGTGTTACTTTAAATGCATTTCTATCTGTTTGATTACTAAATGATCTGTTCGTATTTTTATTTCGAATTGCGAATTGAAAGCCTTATCGGCGACCGATTCAGAAATTGATTACTATTTTATGCTAATTAGGATTTATGTGATTTTATGGTAAGTTTAATTAAAATTTGATTTGGAATGATTAATTAGATTAAATAATGTTAAATTACATTAGTTTGAATTTATTACATCTTTGCCATTGGGTGGGGCACCTTTAGAGTTATTGTTTGAAGCTTAGTTTTACATCATTTCTTCATCCATCTTTTTGGCAAAACCGTGAGAGAGAGTGAGTTGGGAGAAATTGAGTTCAACAAGAAAATTGGCTTGGAGAATTAGAAGAAATTGAGGAAATTTTGAAGAATTGTTGAATTGCTCAAGAACTTTGCTTAAGTAAAGCTTAATTAAGGAGTTTAGGTAAGAGCTCAACCCCTTGATCTTGTCATTGAGCTATCTAGAACTTGTCTACACATGAAATAGGTGAATTCATGGGTTAATTGTGCTAGAATTCAAGGAACTTCAATTAATTCATACATGCATGTCCATATCATAGAATTTTGAGGTTGTTTTCATGAAATCCTCACATGCATGTTCATATTTTAGTTGTGGTTCAAGAATTCACCATGTTTTAAAGTTCAAGCTTACATTTGATTATGTTTTAGAGCATTAGAGTTCATAGGAACTCATGCATGTGATGTTGTTGCATTATTCTTTAAGTTTCATTCAAATTGTGTTCAATTGTCTCACATTTGGGATTGATTTTACAAAATTGATCTTCAAAACGTGTTGCAGTATGAGTTTTCAAGTGTTTTCCAGAAAATTGGCCTAAAAGGTTAAGTTTTGATAAGTTTAATTCTTGGTTTGAGCTTTGGGAGCAAATCTGAAAATTTCAGATTTTGGCTTCCATGATCGAGCGAAGGATTCCACGCTCGAGCGACCATCTTTTTGTTCAGAGCCACACTCGAGCGACAGAATGCTGGCTCGAACGTAGATTGCAAGCTCTTAGGTTTTTGTACACACAAACGCACGCTCGAGCAACGAGACCTACGCTCGAATGAAAAGTTGTGTCTCATGCTCAAGCGAGCATCGAGCGGAGAATTTCAACAACTAGTACTTTTTGCATTTTTACAGACCGCTCGAGCGAGGGAGTCCATGCTCGAGCGACCTCTCTGTTTTGGTAAGCTCGCTCGAGCGTAGAAAGCCACGCTCAAGCGAGACCCCTGTTTCAGCAAAAAATTTGAAAAGTGTTTTAAAGTACATTTTTGCATCCTCATTCCATCCTAGGCATTCCTAAGCCAAGTTTAAGGCATCTTAATGAGGATAATGTTATAGAGCCACACCGAGTCAAGTTAAGGGGCTAAGTTATTAATCCCAAGTGTGTAACTTAGTGTGTGTTCGTTCTGCAACTGTGTAGGGTTGGCACCCAAGGACGCTGACTAGCTTGTCTTTAGCCCAATACTCTGTGAGTAACAATGTTGTAAAGATACGTTCAATTATAATTATTTCTGAATGATTGACTGTACCGCTTTCTGAAATGACATTACTTATTGAATGAATATTTGTCCTATTTGTAAACTGTACTCGTGGCATTCATAGCAACTTACTGTTACTGTACTGTTATTGCTATTGTTATAGAGATCTCTATCAGTTCCAATGTTTGGAACTACTACTGTTTATTGTTTTGATGGCCATCAACTGACTGTTCGATCTATTAAGACCTACTATACTGTTTTGCTATTAGACGTACCACGTATGACTGTTATGATTTCTAAATGGCTGATATGGCACGAAATATGAGCCACTGATTGAATAACTGATTTACTAATGCAAATGATGGCTTTAATTAATGAAAGGACATTCATTCTTAACCTATTTACGCATTTGTTATTCACTGGGCTTTAGCTCACTGTTTATATTTATATGTAGGTGTCCAGGCATCGGACTGAAGCTAGGAGCGTCAAGTTAAGCTCTCGTTTTGTCAAGCCAACCATTGTGCCTCACTTCGAGGTTCCGAGTTCGTTCTAGCTAAGGCTGTTTTTGGGTGTTCAGAATCACCATTCTGTCTCTGTTTTGTACCGACTGAATAAGTTTCGACTGTACAGTTATGGTGAAGGGACTTGGTCCCTAACCTGGATGTTTGTGTATATGATGTATGTACATATGTTTTGGTTATGAATGTGGCTTGTTCATAAAAGTCTTTTTGCATTCAGATTTTCACAGCTTATTAGACATCTTTTTATTTATTGTTTGGCTTATGCCAGCCCCTTACTCTGTATTACTGTCATTACTATTAAGCAGGCCTTCGGTAATCACGGATTACTGGTCGGTTGCGATGCTAAACCCATAGGGGCGGGTTTGGGTCGTGACAGAGTAGTATCAGAGCACGAGTTATACCGCACACACGTGTCCAAATGAGCTATAGGTTGTCCTAGAAAGATAATTAGGGCATTGCATGAGCACGAGAAAGTGTGTATGGCCATGATATGAATATATGTACTAATGTGCTAATGTGTTTAACTATGCAACTTCCTATGTTTATTATTACTGTATTGCATATAGTGAAATAGAGAATGCAAGAAATGCCGATGAATCTTAATCATCTGAGGCAAGAGTGGCAAGGTTAGAAAGAACGGTTGAACAGTTGACTAAGGCCCTAAGACAACAACAGAACCAACAGCCCCCACCTCCTCTAGTACAACCAGAACCGAATGTTTATGATGATGTTATTTCTTTAACACAGAAGTTCAACAAGATGAAGCCACCATCATTCCAAGGAGGGCTTGAACCGCTAAAGGCTGAAGCATGGGTTTTAGAAATCGAAAAGTTGTTTGAAGTGTTTTCGTGTTCTGAAGCACACAAGGTATTATTGGCTACCTTCACTTTACAAGAAGAGGCCAGACGGTGGTAGATGCTCGTCCGCGACACCAACAATGCTATGACTTGGGCTTCGTTTAAAGAATC